CAGCAGCCGAAAGCAACGCTCCTTTCTTTGGGTCAGAAGCCTCACGTGATTCTCTGCCCAGGGTCTCCACACACTGTAATTGAGGTGCCCGCTGGGCTGTGGTTATCCCCAGGACTCAGCGTCCTTCCAAATTCACATGGTTGTTGACAGAATTCAGTTCTGTGCTTGAGGGCTGCTGGCTGGGGACCACTGAGCTCCCGGGAGAGCCTGCAGCTCCCAGCTGGGCCAGCCTCTCTGTGGGGAGCCTGCTGCTCACTGTGCTGGAGTCCCCCAAAGCTGTTTCCTTCCAGACAAGTAAGAGAATCAGGGAAAGCTGAACCCTCTCACACAGGACTCACTTGATTAGGTCAAGCTGTCCGTAATCATCTGCCTTTGACTAACTCCAAGTCAACTGATTAGAGACCGTAATTACATTTGCAGACCCCTTCACCCTTCCCACCTAATGAAACCTGATCCCAGAGTGAAGTCCTATCAAAGCCCAGACTCAGCTGCGCTGAAGGGAAGGACACACACAGGGTCACTTTACAATTCTGCCTGCCCGCACCTCCGTCTGGGTGAAAGCATTTTATTCTTTTCACTGTATTTTTACATCAACCCTGGAGGGCCTGACAAGCCCCAGAAACCGTGCTTCCCACCGTGCTGTCAATCTTCCGAACAGCTCAACAAGGCACATCTCATCCTGTTTTATAGATGAGGAAACTGAGGCTCGCAGAGGGGTTAGGCCCACGAAGGGGAGCCCACAGCGGGGTGCTCTGGGTCAGACTCAGTCGGAGAGAGGCAGAGCCGGGACTCAAGCCTGCTTCCTGCCTCTGAGCTTGCATAGTCCCCACCCTGCTGCTGGGGCACAGGGCCCGCCAGCTGCCCAGCCTGGACCCACACCCCTGCTCCCCCAGCCGGGCGCTGGGCACAGGGCATTCGAGCAGACTGCTTCCAAGCTCCGTGGAAACACAGCCTGGATCATTGATGGTGCCAACTGGAGTCCAAAGGTGCCTTCATTAGCATCACTCGGACACACTGCTCCACGCATGCGGGAGACCCTCATGGCCTGCTTGAACCCCTCTGCTGATGGGGAGCTCACTTCTGCCTTAGGTGTCCTCTCCCATCTTCAGAGAACTCTGCGCAGGAGAGAGTTTAGCCTCACGCTGGGCCATAAACCACCTGCTCTCAACTCCTGGGCTCCGTGTCGAAGATGAGGCTGACACAGACCTGCTGTGCACTCTTGGGATGGTGGCCTGGATGCTGCCCAGTCCTGCCCAGAGCTGGCTGCTCATGCTGTTCTCTTGCGTGGAGATGGTGATCTCTCTGTTTAAGAGAACAGCAGGGCAGCTGATTCCCTGGGGATGGTGACCATCACTCTCTGAGCCTCAGCTTCCTCATCCAAAACAAAGGTCCACCCTGGACTCGGCTGATATTTGCCCCTGGATGAACGAGTGCAGGGAAGGACGTGGGCTCCAGGAGAGAGGAGGAGGCTGTGCTGGGTGGAGCTCCCTTGCCTCTGAGTCAGGAGAGGGTGCTGTGTGACCGTGGGCAAGGTACTTTCCTTCTCTGTTCAGGGGAGAGTCTCTAGGGACCCCAGCAAGGAGTGTGATTTCAGCCCCAGTCCTGGAGTTCCCTGCGCCTGCCCAAGGCAGTTCCTGGAGCCCGGGCCATGGGTGCTTGCTGAATGTGTGTGGGAAGGTGACTGAGTTGACTGGGAGTCATGGCCACCTCTCTCTAAAGCCAGAGCAGCTGGCTTCTGAGCTGGGAGACCACTGGCTGCATAGGGCGGGCAGATGCCCACTGCACACCTCCTCATCGCATGCCCATTCTGCGGAAGGGGGTTGCTGCCCGGGAACCAGCCTCCGAAGGGCAGAGTGGGGCTGGGGACCAGTGGGCTTGGGCCCCAGCCAGCTGAGCCCTGACCTCCGCCCACCACGAAGGGACTGGCTGCCTGGTTCTGCACACGCCAGCGCTGTGGCCCTCGTTTCCCAGGCGTTCTCTCCTCACTCTGGGAACCTTGGGGTAGGGTTTGTCTCTGGTTACAGGGAAGAGACGGAGGGTCTGAGAGGTTAAGGGAGTTTGTTACTGGAAGGGGTCCCGATCCAGATCCCAAGAGAGGGTTCTTGGATCTCACAGAACAAAGAACTCGGGGCGAGTCCATAATGTGAAAGCAAGTTTATCGGGAAGTAAAGGAATCAAAGAATGGCTGCTCCGGCCGGGTCAGCGTCTCCCGTCTGGAATCCCAGCACTGTGGGAGGCCGAGGCAGGCGGATCACCTGAGGTCAGGAGTTCAACACCAGCCTGGCCAACGTGGCAAAATACCTGTCTCTACTAAAACACAAAAAATTAGCCTGGCGTGGTGGCGGGTGCCTGTAATCCTAGTTACTAGGAAGACTGAGGCAGGAGAATCACAACCCTAGAGGCGGAGGTTGTAGTGAACGGAGATGGCACCTCTGCACTCCAGCCTGGAGGGCAACAAGGCCAGATTTCATCAAAAAAAAAAAAAAAAGGCTACTCCATAGGCAGAGCAGCCCCCAAGGCCAAAGGCCGCTGGCATCCCATTCTCGTGGTTATTTCTTGATCACGCGATAAACAAGGGTGGACTATTCATCAGAACTGAGGGCTCCTCCCCTCCCTTTTGAGACCATATAGGGAAACCTCCAGATGTCCCCACGGCATCTGTGAACTGTCATGGCGCTGGTGGGAGTGGCCGTTAGCAGCTAGTGCATTCTAATTAGCATATAATGAGCGGTGAGGAGAGCCACGCTCATCGCCATCTTGGTTTGGTGGGATTTGGCCGGCTTTTTTACTGCCACCTGCTTCATCAGCAGGGTCCTTGTGACCTGTGTCTTGTGCCCACCTCCTATCTCATCCTGTGACTAAGAATTCCTAACCTCCTGGGAATGCGGCCCAGCAGGTCGGTCCAGCAGGTGTCAGCCTCATTTCACCCAGCCCCCATTCAAGACGGAGTGGCTGTGGTTCCAATGCCTCTGGCAGGTTGCCCTGGGCAGAGTGTTCCTAGGGAGTAGGGGGTATTATCCCTGGGGCTGCCACTCTGCTCCAGCGTGTGGGCCTCATTTTAGTGGTGACCAAACAGGACTCAGAGAACTCAGCTCCCTCACCCCGAATTCACAGACTGTGAGTGTGGGCTGGGGTTTGAATAGGGGCTGGAAGACCCATCCTTTCCTCTGGTCCCCCAGGCTCTGCTACTTGAGAGGAACAGGATTCTGGGAGCCAGTACCCTCAAAGGGCCAGGCAGGGTGGGTGGAGATGGGGAGGCACAGTTCCAAAGCCCCCTGGACTCTGAGGCAGGTGGGGGGCCAAGAGTGACCCAGGCCTGCAGACCCCGCCCCACCCGAGAGACATGGCCGCAGGCACGGCCTGGCGGGCAGGAGGTCTGTGTCCTCAGTAACCATGACGGTGCTTCCCGCTGGCCCAGCCGGCCGTGCCGTCCTCAAGTTTCCAATCATGCTGCCTCCGCTCCAGTTCCCAAGCCCAACCCGCAGAGACAGCGGTTTGGGGTCAAGATGAGGTTGGTCAGCAGCGCTGATCCGCTGCTTCCCACCAGCCCCGAGGATGGTTCTGGAAAGCTCTCTGCTGCCACCTGGCGGGGAGGCTCGGGGCAGGGCTCTGGCGGCGGCAAGGATGGGGCTCCCCTGCCGCGCTCCCAGGGCCTCCTGGCTCTGCCACCTCTGCTGGGTGGAAAACAACCCAGACTGAACCAGCAGGTGGACGCCTGACCCCTATTATCAGAGCTCCGCCCACTGGCAAGTGTCTCTCAGGCCTCGGTTTCCCCTTCCATTAGACAAGGGGCTTGAGGGATACCAAGCAGGGGTAACTGCTTAGTGGGGATGGGAGGTTTCTTCTGGGGAGATGAATACGTTTTTTTGGTTTTTTTTAGAGATGGGTTTTAACCATGTTGACCAGGATGGTCTTGATCTCCTGACCTTGTGATCCTCCCGCCTCAGCCTCCCAAAGTGCTGGGATTACAGGCGTGAGCCACCGCGCCCGGCCAATGAATACATTTTTAACTAGATGGAGCGAGTGGCTGCACAGCACTGTGAATGCACCAGTGCCATCACATTATTCGCGTTGAAATAGTTAATTGCATGCTACGTGAATGTCGCGCCATTTAAAAGGTGTTTAAAAGAGGGGCCTGGGAGAGGGCAGTGGTGTGAGAATCACGTGGGACAGCCGCAGCCTCTGAGCCTCAGTTTCCTTGATGTAAACTGGCAAACGGACCATGTCAGCCATGTTTCCTGGGGCCAAGAGATTCTAAGAAGGAAAACCCAGGATTGCTGGGGACTGGGATGAGGGCTGGGGCGGGAACGGGAGCGGTACGTGGGGAGGGCCAGGGGCAGCCCAGATGAGGCTTTCAACACCAGGCGGCTGCGTCTACACAGGCAGGGAGCCCTGCATCTCACTTCCTGCAGGGCTGACCAGTGGCTGGAGGTGGGATTGGCCAGGCTTGGCCCAGCCAAGTGTGGGACCAGAGGACACTCAATAGGGGATCACCTGGGCCACCCTCACTGGCCTGTGGCTCTCCTGACACCACAAGGGAGGTCCAGGAGCTGCCCTTGGATCCTAATGGGTGGCACCTTCCTGGCAGTTGGCTGGTAGGGTGGTGTGGTGGTCAGTGCACTGGGCTCTGCTACTTAGCCCCTACCTGCTATGTGATGGTGGGACAGACACCTAACCTCTCTGTGCCTCTATTTCTTCAAAGGGGCACAAACAGCCCCCACCTCCGGGCACAGTGGCCTGAGGATTACAGGCAAGTGTGGCACGAGACCTGTGGCAAAAGCTCAGAGCGGGCACCTGCCCAGGGAGTACCTCCACCGTCTCCCCTCTGGCCACCAAGGAAACCGAGGCTCATGGCAACCTGGCCGAAGTCTGTTGGACTCAGGGTCTTTCTCATACCCAAGATCAGGATATAGCAGCAGGGCTGCCCTGGGGAAGGGAGCTGGCCCCCAGACAGGCCCGGAAAGCACGCCAGGGAAGGGTGCCTTTGTGACTTCAGTAAGTTATTGCAAAAACAAAACCATTTATTGCTATTTGACCCCTGCTTTCATGCCTCCATTTCCTGGAAAATGAGCCACTGGAGACACCAGGAGAGGCAGGAGACCGCACCCACCCCCCACCACCACCAGCACAAAACCCACTTCCTCCGATGCGGTCCTCAGTGAGGGTGGCTGGGGGCCAGCCAGGGGGCCCACCCACAGAGCGGCAGGGGAGGCAGATTGACCCTGCGGATGTTGAGCTCCGTGGCAAAGGTCCTGGCCTTCTGGTAGAAGAAGAGCGACTTCTCTCGGTCCAGGAGGAAGTTGTGGTAGATGGTGGCCAGCCGTGTGTAGATCTTCAGCTGTGCCTTCTTGTTGCCCAGGTCCACGGCAGCCGCCAGTGCCAGCTGGTAATACCCAGCCGCGTCGAACGGGTCCTGAAGGGGACAGGCCATGCTCAGCCAAAAGGGGACTTGAAGTCCGTCTCCACAGAGGCCATTCCTGTCTCCAGGTCTGTCTATCATGTCCCGCCAGCACCAGCTCACCCCAGGAGCCCCAAAACCTGTGAAACTCCACTGCTGCAGGCCCTGACACCCGCTGGAAGCCTTCCTGACTGTCCCTACACCTCAGCCACCGTAAGCCTCCTGCCCCAGCCCCACCCTCTCTGCAGGCACTGACTGCTCTCCCTGTGGGCTGCAGTTGGGGTGGATCCTGTCTGCTCTGAGAGTCCCATGCGGGACCCGTGGCTCCCAGCCACAGCAGGGGCACAGCATTGTTGAGTGACCCAGGCTTCCCTCTGACCCCTGTCTGCAATGACCATTTCCAGGCCCTTCCACTGGCCTGGCCAGGTGCAAAAGTATCTCACAGGTGTCATCTCTGGGACTCTTCTCTGAAATAGGGACAGAGAGTGACTCCCCAGACCTCTGCTACCATTTAGATGCATCTTTGGCTCAAACTCACCATCCCTGGGTTGGGATGTGGCCTCTCAGACCTCCTCCTTGACCCTCCCATCCCTCACCCAGCTTCTCCCCAGGCGCCTCCTCCACATGGGGGTCACCCAAGGGACCTCTCCAAGACCCATGCCTGGCCCAGCTCCCTTTACCATCTCAAGACAGCCCCCAGGGCCAAGGACAAAGTCCAAGACGCAGAGCCGGTTCATTCCCTCACTGCCCACCCACGAACGGAGCAGGGGTGCATCCAACGCCCCCCAGCCCCACCCAACACTGGACTGTGCCAGGTGCACGGCTGCTACCAGTCTGGGGAACCTGGGAGTGAAAACTGACCACACAGAGTGGCCAGGGCTGTGGCAGAGGAAAGCCTGGGAGCCTGTGGGGAGCCCGGGAGGCCCCGGACTCAGCCTGGGGTGGGAGGCAAGGGCTTCCTGAAGGAAAGAAAGAGCCAAAGCATGTGTGTGCGTGTCTGTGTGTGCACCTGGGTGTGCCTGTGCCTGTGTCTGCATGTGCCTGTATGTGTGCCTGTGTGTGCATGAGCCTGTGTGTGCCTGTGTGTGTGCCTGTGTGTGCATGAGCCTGTGTGTGCCTGTGTGTGTGCCTGTGTGTGCATGAGCCTGTGTGTGCCTGTGTGTGTGCCTGTGTATGCATGAGCCTGTGTGTGCCTGTGTGTGTGCCTGTGTGTGCATGAGCCTGTGTGTGCCTGTGTGTGTGCCTGTGTGTGCATGAGCCTGTGTGTGCCTGTGTGTGTGCGTGCCTGTTTGTGCCTGTGTGTGCATGAGCCTGTGTGTGCCTGTGTGTGCGTGTGCCTGTGTCTGCATGTGCCTCTGTGTGCATGTGCCTGTGTGTGTGCCTGTGTGTGCGTGCCTGTTTGTGCCTGTGTGTGCATGAGCCTGTTTGTGCCTGTATGTGCGCATGCCTATTTGTGCCTGTGTGTGTGCATGAGCCTGTGTGTTCTTGTGTGCATGTCCCCGTGTGTGTTCCTGTGTGCGTGCATGTGTATGTGTGCCTGTGCACACTTGCGAGTCCCTGTGTGTGCCTGTACCTGTGTGTGTGTGCCTGTGCCTGTGTGTGCCTGTGTGTGCCTGTGTGTACATGCCTGTGTATGCACCTGTGTGTGCCTGTGTGTGCATGTGCCTGTGTGTATGTGGTTATGTGTTCCTGTGTGTGCATATGCCTGTGTGTGCACACCTATGTGTGCATGTGCCTGTATGCGTGTGCCTGTGTATGTGCGTGGGTGTGTCTGTGTGTGTGCATGTGCCTGTGTGTGCCTGTGTGCATTTGTGTGTGCATGTCCCTGTGTGTGCCTGTGTGTGCACATGTGTGTGTGTCTGTGCCTGTGCCTGTATGTGCATTTGTGAGTCCCTGTGTGTGCCTGTGCCTGTATGTGCATTTGTGAGTCCCTGTGTGTGCCTGTACCTGTATGTGCATTTGCGAGTCCCTGTGTGTGTGCCTGTGCCTGTGTGTGTGCCTGTGCCTGTGTGTGTGTGCCTGTGCCTGTGTGTGTGCCTGTGTGTGTGCCTGTGCCTGTGTGTGTGCCTGTGCCTGTGTGTGTGTCCCTGTGTGTGTGCCTGTGCCTGTGTGTGTGCCTGTGCCTGTATGTGTGCGTGTGCCTGTGTCTGTGTGTGTGTGTGCCTGTGCCTGTGTGTGTGCCTGTGCCTGTGTGTGTGTGCCTGTGTGTGTGCCTGTGCCTGTGTGTGTGTCCCTGTGTGTGCCTGTGCCTGTGTGTGTGCCTGTGCCTGTGTGTGTGCCTGTGCCTGTGTGTGTGTGTCCCTGTGTGTGTGCCTGTGCCTGTGTGTGTCCCTGTGTGGGTGCCTGTGCCTGTGTGTATCCCTGTGTTCGTGCCTGTGCCTGTGTGCACACATGTGCTGGTGTGTGTGCGTGTGTGCATTTGCATGTGCCTGTGGTGTGTGCAGCAGCTGGTGGGTGGCAGGGCACATCCAATCCACCCTGTTCCAGCGCTCACTCTCATGCGTAGACTAAATGGGACCCCATTTCAGAGGCAGTCGACAAAGATGCCTGTTCACCCTCCTCTCTGCTGGCCTTCCAGACCCTATCCAGTCCGGCTTTCTCTCCCACCCCTCTGGGCCCAGGGTTCAGCGTCTCCTACACAGGAGGAGGGTGTGGCCTTGGAAAGACAGCTGCCCTGGGGGAACTCCCAGGGGACCTCCGTGGGGGACACTGGCCTGCAGTGACAGCACAGTCACGATGAGGCCCAGAGGGCTGTGCATGGGAGGGAGGTGAAGGAGGCCTCTGCCTCTCAACCCCGGCCGTGGACCTCTGCCTCTCAGGGATGACTAGGCCCTTCCCTTCCTCCTGGGTGGGCGGAGCGGGCAGTGGGCATGACCAAGAGAGATAAAGCCCCCTTCTGGGAGGCCCGTCCCCTGGGTCCCATGTCAGTTCGTGAGCAGAGAGCAGTGTCCCCTGGGCCTGCTGCCTGGCACCTCCCTGTCTGGCTGGGACTTGGGAGGTCACAGGGACTACTTCTGACCACCAGGTGTCGCCCTCCCCAGCAGCCCCAGGCCTGTGGGAGGGATACTGGGCGGGGTCTTAGGGCTGCCCCACCTTCTCATGTTGTTTTAAGGCCCCCAAGAGGGGGCTCCAGTCCCTGGACTGGAGCGCCCTGGCCCCTCATCCCACAAGGAGCACTGATGTGGTGCCGGAGCGATGCTGAGGAGGGGCGGGTGCCTGCAGGGCAGTGGGGTGGTGACAGCCCATGTTGGAGCCATCCCGTCCCAGCTCTCACCCCTGCAGGGCTGGGAGCAGAGGGAGCACAGCTCCCAGCGCTGACCCAGCAAAGCCTCAGCCTGGCTATTGGGGCCCCACCCCACTGCACGCGCCCTGAGCTGGGGTTTCGCTGCCTGTGAAGCAGGGTGGTAAGACATCCGCCCCACCCCACCCTGCCTGGGTGATATGACAATTCAAGGTGTCTCAGGACTCCAGAAGGAGTTGCTCAGTACAAATTGGCACCCTGGGCAGGCTTTCTAGAGGAAGCGATGGAATTTGGGTTGGATCTTGCATAGCAGATTCAATGTGAGGATGCCGTCCCCCAAATGTCTTTCTCCCAACCCCATTTCCTTTGTTAACTGCAACTTGACATTTGACTGTCAAGACTCAGATTTGGTGTCACCTCCTCCAGGAGGGCCCCCATGACTACAATCCCTCTTCTTTACCCAGTGGCTGCCAGTGGGTAAAAAAGAGGCTGCTCATGTGTCAGCCTTCCTGGCTGAGGCTGAGCTCTTGAGGGCAGGGCCCGGCCAGCTCCGGAGATGGGTTGTGTCTGCTAACCTTGCTGGCTCCTCCGGCCGGGCGCAGAGCTCCAGGGAGGCCACTGGGCCATTCCTAAGGAAGGCTGGAACCCAGGCCTCTGGGGTCTGGGTGGACATCGCACTGCAAGGGGGCCGGGAGACCCCAGTCCTGCCCCTCCCCACCCACCTTCAGGTCGTAGAAGATTATGTCACCGAGCACCAGGTACACCTTCACGTAGTAGAGGCTCTCCTCGTCGAACTCCAGCGGCGAGCTGCAGAGCGACAGGGCCTTGAGGTAGAAGTGCTCCGCCAGCTCGCCGTGGCCCAGCCGGTGATGCAGGGCGGCCAGCCGGTGGTAGGCCACCCGCTCGTTCAGCCGGTTCCCTGGAGGGCAGGCCAAGGGAGCAGGTGTGAGAACAGGGCTCCCTGGGGCAGGCAGGGCACAGGCCCCTCAGGAGCAGGCATGCAGACCCCGGCAGCACCTGGCCCGCCTCCGGGCACCTGCGGTCACCCAGACAGCCCCGGCCAGTCCCTCGGGGCTCCCAGACTCACTTTTCCCATCTGCAAAGCAGAACTAATCCTGCCCCTGTCTACTGTGAGGCTTTGGCAAAGTGGACTTGGATGGCCCAGCTCTGTGCCTACACACAGCCCCCTGCCTCTGCCCACTGCTTTTAACCAGGGGAGCCCAAAAAGCATGCAGCCCAGACACTCCCGGGCACCAGGGCTCCAGACAACCCACAGGCGTGACATTCAACTCTTCCTGGGCGTGTCATCATCAGAGCCCCTGGTGCTGGGGAGTCGCTGCGTGCCTGAACTCCAGGTGCCCCCGAAAATGCGAAAGCCCACCTGGGCGGTCTCCAGCATCCTCCCCTTTCCAGGGCAAGGGGAGTGGAGCCTGCATTCAATGCATTCCCACACAGCTGCACACCTACTGTGTGCCAGGCCATGGGGCGCAAGGCGCTGGGGCATGCAGCCTGCTCAGGGCTCCCTCTCTGGAGGAGGAAAGACAACCCTAGCACAGCACCAGGGATGACTGGCATTAAGGGGCAAGCTGCTGGAAGGGGAACTGGGATTTCATCAGCCAGAGAACTGTGTGGTTGATGAAGGTGGGAAGGGCACACAGAAAGGGATCCATCAGTGCATATGAGGCCATGGCCACTTTCCCCGGCGCACTCAGGGACGGACCAGATGCCTGGAGTGTTTGGAAGGCAGGGCACACTGAGCAGCCCTTACGGTCGGGGGGGGGGAAGGAGGCAGAGGAAGCAGAGCTCAGCCAGGCAGGGAGCTCTACACTGCGTGAGAGACCTCTGGCTGTGCCCAGGGCCAGACGGGGGAGCCAGCTAGGCAGATCTGCCTGCCTGGAAAGGAGACCAGAGAGCCCGGCAGCTGTGTCGGCTCCTGCCCTGCAGACCTGCAGGCTGCGCTCTGGCAAAGTGTGGGTCCCGGCAGCGCGGGGTCCGGGGCTTACCCAGGGTGATGCTGAGTGCTAGGGCCATGTGGGCGAACTCCAGGCCCTCCTGGGGCTCCTGCAGCGTGGCCAGCAGCGCCACCAGCTTGTTGCACAGCCGCAACTCCGCCTTGCGGTTGCCCGTCGTCACTGCCAGGGGCAGGGCCCGGTCCTACCACACAGGCAGGTGGGGTCAGGCTTCCCGCACCCACCCTGTCCATCGCCCTCCTCAGAACCAAACACGTGCTTGGAGTTTCCCACACCCCAGCTATCCGTGGGCCTTGACAAGGCTCTGTGACCTGAGAGAAAGGGCGGAGCAGACACCCACGCTGGGGGCTGAAGGGTCACCTGAGGCAGTCCAGCCATGCCCAGCAGCCTCAGAGCAGCGCCTCCTGCCTGGGCACCAGGGGTCTGGCTGAGGGGACCCAGCACTCCTCTCAGCTCTAAGAACACCACACTTATCTGTGCCCAGGGCTGAGCCACGCCTCAAGCTTAGAGGAAGGGAGAAGCCGTCCCTGCTTCGGGGTGCCTCAGACCTGGACCCTGTCCCTGGGTCTCCCACTGACATGCTGTGTGTCCTTTGACACGTCCCCGTGCCTCTCTGAGCCTCAGTTTTTTCATCTGGGAAATGGGGACGGGACTTCACACCATGGCTACTTGAGATCATTGGGTGAAGGGAAAGCCCGTTGCTGTGTCCAGGGCCCAAGCATTTGATCCGGGCAGGGGCGCAGTCAATATCCCTCCCGGTGAAACCACTAGGAAACTAAGCACATGCATGGGGCAGCCCTGACTCCACGTGGGAGGCCTCTGCCCTGCCACATCGTGCCTCAGCCCTCAAGGTGCCCCCAAGGCCAGCCCGCATCAGCCCTCAGGCCAGCTCACCCGGTAGAAGGACACAGCTTTCTCCCGCTCCCAGGCCCCATTGAAGAAGATGTCTCCAGCCGCCTCAAACAGCTCCAGTCCCAGGCTGGGGTCACCTGTGTACAGGGCCACATTCTGTGCCACCTGCAAGGAAGTGCAAGTTCCCTCAAGACCCACCCCTGGTGAGGTGGCCACGCCCACCCAGGTGAGACTCCCCCACCAGCCTCTCCCTGTCACACACTGTAGGTGCACCTCAGCTTTTCAGACCCTGTGTGCTGGGGCTGCCGCCACTGGCGGCATGAGGACGATGACCGGACGCAGCTGAGTGCCAGGAGGTGCCTGTGCAGCTGCAGCCCAGGAGCCGGCAGGCGAGGACGGGTGGGGAGCTGGGGACGGAGCCCAGGGCCAGCCTCCAACCCACTCACAACATGCTGACCTCAGCACTCTCTGCCCCAGCGTCTTCAGGGCTCCCACACATCCTGCCCCTGTCCTGGTCCTTCCCCTCCGAACCCCGAGCAGGTGTCTAGCTAGTCAGGGTCGCCTGTCTCTCCCGCCAGGAAGGTCAGCTCCACAAGGCCAGGGACCAAGCCATGGGCTTCTCTGCAGTGGTCAGGGCCTCCTGTTGCTCCTGGCCCCCAGAAGATGCTCCGCAAATGCCCGCGGAGTGCATGGCTGAGCGGTCCAGCCTGCCTGTGACTCGCCTGTGACCTGGCCAGACCCCACTGCTTGCTGTTCCCAGACAGTGCCAGGCTCCCACCGGTGCCTGGGCCTCCGCACTTGTGAATCCTGCCCCCAGGGCTAGGCCTAGCCCACTCCCCCTGCACTCACAGCAGCCTCTGGGCCTCCAGACTGCTGGGAGCCCAGCCCCTGCTCCTTCCTGTGCTGCCACATCCCTGCCACAGCTCAGGGCCCCACATCAAGAGTGTTCATGGGTGGGCTTGGTCCCCTCTTGGCCATGAGCTCTTGATCCTTCTCCTCAGCTTGAGCAGGTATACAGCAGGTGCTCAAAAATGAAAGCCTCACCAGGCTCATGGGCTTCCCAATTTGTTCCAAATCACACTGTGTTTGGGAAGGCCTCTGAAAACAGCTGCTATGATAGATGCCTTTTGTAGGGAGATGTGCCATGTGTTGCTTGGAGCAAGTTCCTCTGTGTTAACTGAGTGGACACATTATTTGAGCATGTGCTGTATACCATCAGGTGCTGGGCCTGTGAGCGGCCCATGCCTCTGCCCTCAGGGAGAAGATGCTGGGCATTTGGGGAGGATATGAGGGAACCAGTGGGAAGGAGGGGAAAGACATACAGCAGGTGCTCAGCAGTGGCTTTGGAATGAGAAGATGAATGGATGAATGGATAAGCAGATGAATGGATGGATGGATGGATGGGCAAATGAATGGATGGATATGTGAATGGATGGATGGATGGATGGATGGATGGATGGATGGACAGATGGGTGGATGGATGGATGGATGGATGGAGGGTGGATGGATGAATGGATAGGTGGGTGGAATGATGTGTGTATCTATGTATGGATGGATGGTGGATGATGTATGTATGTACATATGGATAGATGGATGAATAAACAAATGGACTGACAGACAAATAAATGGAGGGATGAATGAATGGTTGGATGGGTGGATGGATGGATGGATGGATGGGTGGATGGATGGATGGATGGATGGATGGATGGATGGGTGGATGGGTGGATGAATGGATGGATGGATGGATGAATGGGTGAATGGGTGGATGGATGGAAGTGTGGATGGGTGGGTGGATGGATGGATGGAGGGTGGATGGAGGGTGGATGGATGGATGGATAGATGGATGGATGGATGGAAGGATGGATGGATGGATGGATAGATGGATGGATGGATAGATGGATGATGGATGGATGGATGGAAGGATGAACAAGTGAATGGATGGATAATGGAAAGATGGATGGATGGATCATGGATGGAAGGGCAAACAGGTGAATGGATGGATGATGGAGGGATGGATGGACAGATGGATGGATGATGATGAAAGGATGAACAGGTGAGTGGATGGATGATGGGAAGATGGATGGATGGATCATGGATGGAAGGGCAAACCGGTGAATGGATGGATAATGGAAGGATAGATGGATGATGGAGGGATGCATGGACAGATGGATGGATGATGATGAAAGGATGAACAGGTGAGTGGATGGATGATGGATGAATGGATGATGGATGGAAGGACGAACAGGTGAATGGATGGATGATAGAAGGATGGATGGATGATGGATGGACCGAAGGACAAATTGGTGAATGGATGGATGATGGAAGGAGGGATGGATGGATGGTAGGATGAATAGGTAAATGGATGAATGGACGCATGAGTAGATGGATGATGGACGGACAGACGGGTGGATGGTAGGATGAATAGGTAAATGGATGGATGGACACGTGAATGGATGGATGATGGACGGACGGACGGGTGGACGGTAGGATGAATAGGTAAATGGATGGATGGACACGTGAATGGATGGATGATGGACGGACAGATGGGTGGATGGTAGGATGAACAGGTAAATGGATGGATGGACACCTGAGTGAATGGATGATGGACGGACGGACGGGTGGGTGGTAGGATGAATAGGTAAATGGATGGATGGACACGTAAGTGGATGGATGATGGATGGACAGATGGACGGGTGGGTGGAGAGAGCCTGTGCAGGGCCGTCTGTGTCCTCACGCTCACCTGGATGTACAGGTCCTCCCGCTCACCTGGATGTATAGGTCCACCAGCTCACTCTGCCGTAGGATGTAATAGATCTTTCCTGCTTGCAGCCAGGCATGTGCCTCCTTCTCTCTCTTCTGGAGGTCGATGAAAATCCCCAGACTCCGTTTGGTGTAGTCCAGAGCGGATTTATAGGCCCTGGCGTGAGACACAGGTGTCAGAATGAGTGCTCCACGTCCTGGAACCAGTCTGCCTCTTCCCGTGGGTCTGGAGACAGATGAATTTCGAATGTGGGGTCTGGGAACGGCCCTCTTGTGTGCACAGTGTCCTGCCCTTCCCAGACTTCTGGGAGGGCCGGGATGAACAAGTATGGTACGGAAAGGATGAAGGACATCGTGAGGGAACCAGGCATCATGCTGCCCTGTTGCAGGAGGGGCGTGCTCCATTTCCCCGGCTCCCAGATACGGCCTGTGTCTTCTCCAGATGCAGCCCTGGGTCGACCCAAGGCCCGCCAGCTCAGAGCATCCAATGCCAATGAAACAAATAACCCCAAGGAGAGTGCTGCTGGGGCCCTGGGCCAGCTTCCCTGTGCCCCCACCCTGCCCTGCTCCACTGCGCCCCGGCCCCCTGCCACCTCGGAACCAGGCCTCACCGCTCGGTGCCCAGGGACAGGTAGAGCTGGCTGATGGTCTCCAGGAGCTGCCCCTCCAGCACCTTGTCGGCCACCCTGCAGGCCAGGGAGAGCTGGAGCTCATGGTAGATGACACACTGGGCCTCGCTGGGCATGACGGCGCTATAGAAGTGGCACAGCCGCTGGACGGCCCTCAGCTGGCCTGGACGGAAGACAAAAAGGAAGACATCAGCCTCCCAGCACTGCAGCGAGGCTGGCCGGGCTCAAAGGACCCTGTGGTGTGTTTGCTTTCTCCACGCCTCTGTGAGCTGGGACTGCAGAGGCAGGACACTGAGCGCAGACAGGCCTGGAACCACTGCAAGGGTAGTCGCTGAGCACACCGTGACAAGGGCACAGCTTGGGAGAGCACCAGCCTTCTCTGCAACCCCCAGGGCTGAGGTCCTGGTCAGGCCCTGCCCCTGCTTCACAAAGCCCCTCTGGCCAGGACCATGGCTGCCTTCAGCCCTAGCTGACAAGACCGGGGGCACAAACAGCCCTTGTCGCAGATGGAATCCTGAGAGACCAAAGCCAAGCATCGTGTCTGCCACACACAGCATCATGTTGAGGGAATGAGGTTCAAAGCCGGCCCCTGGCGTTCCCACGCCTTTCCTCCTCCCAGGCAGCCAGGCTCCAAACCCACTGGCTTCCTGGCCTCTCCCAAAGCCAGGGTGCTGGGAACAGTGGAAAGCTTCTGACTTTCTAGTGTCAGAAACATGCCAGAGATTAACACCAGGAACCAGGTGCACCAAATGGACATTGATAACATCAGAATACAAGCGCCCACGGGAGAGCCCCCAAGACAGACCACATGCCAGGCCACAGAATGAGCCTCAGTGAGTGGAAAAGGCCTGAGAGCAAAGCAGAGGTGATCTTCAGTGGCACGGACGTGAAACTGGAGATCAACAGTGAAGACAATTTGGGAAATGCAAAAATATGTGGAAATTACACACTCCTAAACAAGAAGAGATCGTCAGGGAAGCTGAAACTAGCTGGAGAAGAATGAACACGGAAGCACAGCAGGGGCGGGGTGCGGTGGCTCACACCTGTCAGCCGGCACTGTGGGAGGCCGAGGCAGGAGGATCACTTGAGTCCGGGAGTTTGAGACCAGCCTGGGCAACATGGTGAAACGCTGTCTCTACAAAAAATACAAAAATTAGCCAGGTGTGATGGCGCATGTCTGTAATCCCAGCTACTTGGGAGGCTGAGGCAGGAGAATGGCTTGAACCTGGTTAGAGGCTGCAATGAGCTGAGATTACACCATTGCCCTCCAACCTGGGCAACAGAGCAAAATGCTGTCTCAGAAGAAAAACAAAGCACAGCATCTCAAAAAATTCCAAGATACAAGTAAGGCAGTGCTCAAAGGGAAATGTCAAATCAAAAACCTAAACTTGGCTGGGCGCCGTGGCTCACACCTGTAATCCCAGCACTTTGGGAGGCCGAAGTGGGCGGATCACTAGGTCAGGAGTGTGAGACCATCCTGGCCAACATGGTGAAACCCCGTCTCTACTAAAAATACAAAAACTAGCCTGGCGTGGTGGCGCGCACCTGTAGTCCCAGCTACTCAGGAGGCTGAGGCAGGAGAATCACTTGAACCACGGAGATGGAGGTTGCAGTGAGCCGAGATCGCGCCATTGCACTCCAGCCTGGGTGACAGAGCGAGACTCCATCTCAAACAAAACAGAACAAAAAACCCTAAACTCCCACCTTGACAGACAAGAAAAAGAAGAATGAACTAAACCCCAAGCAAAAGCAGGAAAATAATAAACGTTAGAATGTGGAATATGTGAAGCAAAATAGAACGGGGCAACAACACAGATAAGCAACAGAACCAAAAGTTGTGTTTTTGAAAATATTAATAAAGTTGACAAATCTTTCACCAGACTGACCAAGAAAAGAAAGACGGGATACAAATGACGAAAATCAGAGACTGAGCACCGTGGCTCGCGCCTGGAATCCCAGCACTCTGGGAGGCCGAGGTGGGAGGATCGCTTGAGGCCAGCACTCAAGGCCAGCCTGGGCAACGTGCTGACACCCCATCTCTATTAAAAATAAATCAATACATAAAACCCCACATTTCTAAAATCAGAAATGAAGAGGGGATGTCATTGCCGACCTGACAGAAATCAAAGGATTCCATGAAGACTCTGAACAATTGTACACCAAGTCAGATCATCCAGATGCAGCGGCCAATTCCGGAAAGACAGACTACGGAAAGTGACGCAAAACTGACCCCAAGTGAGCATGTGGGGTACAGCCTGTGCTCGGTCTCCCGGGCTGTTCGGCAAGGGGTGGGGAGAGGGAAACGTGACCCCTGTCCCCTGTCCTGTGTTTCCAAGTCTGAATCACACCCTGGGGGAGGGCCTCATAGAAGGAGGTGCCACCAGCTAATGTGGCCAGGACCCACTGGAGGCCACAGTGGGGGCTGGGGCGCTGAGTTCCTCCTGGAGGTCCCAAAGGTCCCCTTCTAGTCAGAGAATGCCCCTGCGGAAGACGCCTGGGTCTGAACCCTGCCACCCCTCCTTGGGCAGATGTGTAGGACCAGGGCCCCCTCACATCCTTTCTGAAAGCTCGTCCCTCCCAGGGCCAGGAGCAGGTGCCAGGCCTGTGCTGAGAAATGGACAGATTTGGCCACAGCCCTGGGGCTCTGAGCCGGGCCACAGGAGGTACCCCTGAGTGGTCTCAGTATGCCGGGATATCCATCCTGGGAGGATGGACAAAGCGCTGCAGGGCAGAGGGGACCCACAACGGCACCCCAGGTCCTGGCCGCTTCTGTGGACTCAGCTTCCTCCGTCTACACCCTGCAGTCTAGGTTGCAGCAGCCCTGTCCACCTACTGTCTGTTCACTGCTCACAGCTGCAGTGAGTATTCTACAGCACTTGATGGCTCCCCAGTGCTTTTAGGAAAAGGATTAAGCCACAGCCTGAGGCCCCAGGCCCTGCTTAGCTCCCCGGCAGAGCTTCTCACCGTCCAGCACCCAACCCACTCACTCCCAGCTCTGCACCTCCCTGCACAGGCTCTGCCCACTCACCCCCATTCACACTCCCGTTCACTCATCCCCACTTACATTTTCACTCACTCACCCCCAAGCCCACTCGCCTCTGCTTACACCCCTGCTTACCCACCCCCGCTCACGCACCTGCTCACTCACCCCCATTCCCTCACCCCGGGCCTTCACACAGCTACAGCACCAACCCCTCACCCACCACCTAGTACTCGTCTAAATCCTCTCAACCCTCCGGTCCCAGACTAAAGAGACTTCCCTAACGCGGGGCCAAGAGCTGCCCCGCCATCACGACACTCACCCTTTTGTGGCTTCTCTGGACAGAAGGTCACTTTCCCACGCTCAGCCCCTGCCCACCGAGGACCCCACGAGCCCCATTTGTGGGTGGGGCCTGGCACACTCCGCTCAGCGAGCTGCTTTTGCATGAACTGCTCGGTGGCTTTGGGTAACCACCCGCCCTCGAGCCTTCTGTGAAGTGGGATGCCAGGTGCACAGGGCTGCCGAGATGCCAAGCAGATAACATGGGCACAAGCACTGGCGTCAGGGCCTGGCTCGAGGAGGGGCCCTAAGGCCCAGCTCAGCGGAGCCTGCTTTGCTCCCCAGGCTACGTCTAGGGTGACCCATCGCCCCACTGCCTGGACTGCAGGGTTTCCCAGCGTGCAGGACTCAAGGTAGGATGGTCCCTGGGCAAACCAGAAAGAGCTGGCACCCCTGATAGGGCACAGAGGGCTTGGCCCTGCATGGGAACCACCTGTCTGCAGGGCGCTTGCCAGTATCTGCTGTTTGCCATGACTCAGCATTTTTGATGGTGGAAAAACCACCGCTTGTGTCTGAATCACAACCCCCAGGTGTGCCCTAACCCCAAGTGGCCCCGGAAGGCATGCAGGAGGGACCGGGTCACTCACTTTCCACATGGCCCATCTCCACGGCGACCAGAAGGGCCCACTCGTAGTAGCCCTTGCCCTGCTGGGCAGGGCCCTGGCGGGTGCACAGGTGGCCCAGCTGCAGGAGCACGTGGGTGAAGTCCCGGCCACACTCCCCGCGAGGCAGCCTCGAGAACAGCCGCACAGCCTCCAGGAGGTAGTGCTGCGCCAGCCTGCTGGCACCCACGTGCAGGCACAGAGCCCCGAAGTTGGCTAGCACCACTGCCTGGTTCCTCCGCTGGCCCAGGCCCTGAGCCGCCTGCAGGGCGCGGTAGTAGCTCTCGGCTGCCTGCCTCGTCCGGCCGGTCCTCTTCAGGGCCACGGCCACCATGTTGGCAATCACCCCCTCCTGGTCCTCGCCGGCCACCCCCGCATCCTGGACAGACTGCAGGATGTCCAGGGCCTCCGGGCTCTGCCCGTGCAGCACGTGCAGCCAGGCGAGAGCCACCAGATGGTCCACGATGGCATGGACTCCGGCAACAGCACTGGATTCCACCGCCTGTGTCATGAAGGTGATGGCGGGGCCGTGGCACCCGTGGTGGCTGTACAGCTGGGCCAGGCTGGCGTAGAGGGGGCCACGCAGTGGCTGGCCCATGTCTGGGGTCAGGGAAGCCAGCGCTTGCCTGAGGTAGTGGGAAGTCTGGGCAGGAAGGCCGTGGGGCTGGGGAGCGTTCCGGAGCACCAAGTCCACACTCCTCAGCGAACTGGCCAGTGAGCCCTGCGTCCGCAATGAGGCCACCTTGACACAGCCCAGCACCAGGTGGGGCAGGCACTTGCGGCTGTAGATGTCAGCCAGGAGCAGGGAGCAGTCCGTGGGCCACGAAGCCGCCGGGGCTCCTGAGTCCCTGTGCAAAAGCAGCAGCCTCTCTAGGAAGGGCAGCGCCTCCTCGGGCTGCTTGAGGTGCACGTGGTGCCTGGCCAGCAGGAAGCAGGCCCGGGCCTCGGCCTGCAGGCTCTGGCCGCCCACTGCCCACCGCAGTGCCAGCTGCAGGAGCTCCCCCTCCGCCTCGGTGCTGCAGATGTGGCCGGGCGTGCCCAGGAGCAGGGCCATGGCTTTGGGCACCACCTGGGCACACTTCTCCCGGTTCTTCTGCTTCCGGTAAATGCTGGCCAGGTTGGCATACACGGCCACCACCAGGAACAGGTCTCCAAAGCGGCCCTCCAGGGCCCCCAGCGCTTCCTCAAAGTACACCCGGGCTTGGGACAGCTTGAGTCTCCTGCAGCACAGCCGCCCCAGGAGGAAGCACAGTCTGGCCAGGGCCATGAGGAGGCCAGCTTTCTTGGCCGTGCCCCGGGCCTGTGCCAGGCGCCCAGCCACCTCCCCCTCATCGCTGCAGCTGCAGAACACAGTGCTCAGCCACGGCAGCGCCACGTCGTACAGGCCACGGAAGCCAGCCTTGTACTCGGGAGCGTTCAGGAATAGCAGCAGCGAGCTCAGGGCCTCCGGGTCCGCCCAGTCGTCCTCAGCTTCCAAGCAGAAGGAGGGCTTCTCCAGGTCCTGCAAGCTCTCGTTGCTGGATGCCGCACAGAGACCCCAGGATGCTGGCTCCTGGGGGCAGCCTGGGCAGGTCTTGCATTGTTCCAGAACATTCTTCACCTTCTGCAGGATCTCCTGCGGCTCCGGGCTCGGGCGAGGTAGAGGTATTTCTGCAAGTCACAAAAACACCTAGACAGATTAGAGTCCAGATGTGAGTCCAGGGTCCACTGGGGGCAGGGTCCCCGCATCCCCGGCCTCTGTGTCCCTGGCGCAGCACCCTTTGGACAATACTGCCCCACCAGCTTGCCAATCTCCCCGTTCTCCTCCTTCGCCCATTTGACAGCATGGTTTTAGGAGACTATGTGTCAGCTCAGTGATCCCCGGAGATTGTGAAGGTATCTTTCCCTTTCGAATCAAAGCCACTTAGGCCAGGCATAGTGGCTTATGCCTGTAGTCCCAGCACTTTGGAAGGCCGAGGCAGGAGGATTACTTGAGCCCAGGAGTTTGAGACCAGCCTGGGCAACAAAGTGAGACTCTGACTCAAAAAATAAATAAATAAAATTTTTAAAAAAGACAAAAAACGAATCAAAGCCACTTAATTGGACCAGAGTATGCACAGCACCACAACTACAGATTCATTTTTGTCAGCATATTGGGCCCCCCAGTGGGGTGCAGGAACCCATGAAATCCTCAACGACCAGTCAGAGCTGTTGATCAGCTCCAAAGCCGCTATGCAAATTTGGTAAAGCCACCCCCGGCAGAGGGCAGGGATGTCGTAGGCATGTGCCCAGCTCCATGCAGGGAAAGGGACCGTCCCCGCGGGAAGCATGGGAAAGCTTCCAGACCCCTGTGGCCACCTTCACCTTAAGTGGTCTGAAAACCTGAGGCCCACAGTTCCTACAGGGTTAACACAGGCCAGGCTGCCCGCACAGCCCCCTGTGCCTTCCCAGCCAAACCCCCTCCCAGAGGTGAGCAAACAAGCACTTCCTATCGGAAAACCTGGGAGGAAAGAATCTCGATTTAAACAGACTCTCTGTTTCAACCTCATGTGCAAAAAATATTTTTAATACAAACTGTCTCCTTATTCATCTGTAAAGCCTTGGAATAAAAAATATGAAATATAGTTTAGGGGCAAATGTCTGACTCGACTACACTAGACCAGCTGAGAAATCTCCCGCCCAGCAGAGGCAAAGGGCCCCACCCAGCTGCTACCCTGGCTCTGGGGGGACTTGGGCAGCCTGTGGAAGCACCCCCTGCCCCAGGCAAGCCAACAACAGCCCTCCCTTCCCCACCGGCTTCAGGCCTCCTCTGGGACCTCCTGCCTGTGCTCGGATGGATCCCATTCCCAGGGAATTTCCGGGGGCCCTTGACCCCAAAGGGAACTGTGTCCACATCCCCAGGCTCTCCCCACACGGACCCTGGGTGCAGAGAAGACAGAGCTGTAGAGGGGAGATGGGGGGTCTCTCTCAGGAAAGAGCAGACCCTTGAGGGACCTCAGTTGAGACCGCTGTAACCTAAGGCTCTGAATCCGGCCATCCCATGAGGTCAGAGTGGCCTCACCTCTCTGAGGCAGAGCAGAGGGCAAGCTGCAGCTTCTCCAGGTCATGAGAAAGGAACCCACAGCCACATGTGGGCCCAGGCAGTAGAAAGGACTGCCTCGGTGGGCGACCAGGCAGGGGCTGGCATGTTCACTGGAAGTGTGCCCCCCGCAGCCTCCAGTGCCTCAGTGAATGGGAGATTTGGGCCCACCTCAGGCGACCTCCCTCAAGCCAGCAACCCACACCCACAGAGGGGTGACAGCCGCACCCAAAGCCCACTGCGTGCTCAGCTCGGTTACCTCCCTCGGCGTTACCCCAAGGCCCAGCTCATAACGAGAGGAAGCCTGAGACACCAGCAGAACCCACCTTGTTCCTGGGGCTGCTCAGTCGCAGCTTCCTCCACTGAGTCTGGAAAGGGAGAAAAGAGAAGTAATCAAAAACCCCTGCCAGCACCTCTGGTGCCCTGCCAGGCTGAGCTGGGTGCAGGTGTTGCGGGGTGAGGGCACTGCAGGGTGCAGGCGTCACGGGGTGAGGGCACTGCAGGGTGCGGGTGTTGCAGGGTGAGGGCATTTCAGGATGCAGGTGTTGTGGGGTGAGGGCATTGCAGGGTGCAGGTGTTGCAGGGTGAGGGCATTTCAGGATGCAGGTGTTGTGGGGTGAGGGTATTTCAGGGTGCAGGTGTTGTGGGGTGAGGGCATTGCAGGGTGCAGGGGTTGCGGGGTGAGGGCATTGCAGGGTGCAGGGGTTGCAGGGTGAGGGCATTGCAGGGTGCAGGTGTTGCAGGGTGAGGGCATTGCAGGGTGCAGGTGTTGCGGGGTGAGGGCATTGCAGGGTGCAGGGGTTGCAGGGTGAGGGCATTGCAGGGTGCAGGCATTGCGGGGTGAGGGCATTGCAGGGTGCAGGCATTGCGGGGTGAGGGCATTGCAGGGTGCAGGCATTGCGGGGTGAGGGCATTGCAGGGTGCAGGCGTTGCGGGGTGAGGGCATTGCAGGGTGCAGGCATTGCGGGGTGAGGGCATTGCAGGGTGCAGGCATTGCGGGGTGAGGGCATTGCAGGGTGCAGGCATTGCGGGGTGAGGGCATTGCAGGGTGCAGGCGTTGCGGGGTGAGGGTATTGCAGGGTGCAGGTGTTGCGGGGTGAGGGCATTGCAGGGTGCAGGTGTTGCGGGGTGTGGGTATTGCAGGGTGCAGGTGTTGCGGGGTGAGGGCATTGCAGGGTGCAGGTGTTGCGGGGTGAGGGCATTGCAGGGTGCAGGTGTTGCGGGGTGAGGGCATTGCAGGGTGCAGGTGTTGCGGGGTGAGGGCATTGCAGGGTGCAGGGGTTGCGGGGTGAGGGCATTGCAGGGTGCAGGTGTTGTGGGGTGAGGGCATTGCAGGGTGCAGGCGTTGCGGGGTGAGGGCATTGCAGGGTGCAGGCGTTGCGGGGTGAGGGCATTGCAGGGTGCAGGTGTTGCGGGGTGAGGGCATTGCAGGGTGCAGGCGTTGCGGGGTGAGGGCATTGCAGGGTGCAGGCGTTGCGGGGTGAGGGCATTGCAGGGTGCAGGCGTTGCGGGGTGAGGGCATTGCAGGGTGCAGGTGTTGCGGGGTGAGGGCATTGCAGGGTGCAGGTGTTGCGGGGTGAGGGCATTGCAGGGTGCAGGTGTTGTGGGGTGTGGGTATTGCAGGGTGCAGGTGTTGCGGGGTGAGGGTATTGCAGGGTGCAGGTGTTGTGGGGTGAGGGCATTGCAGTGTGCAGGTGCAGACCAGCACAGGAGCACTTCTGACACCTGAGGGAGAGGCACTAACTACGGGGTCAAAGAATTCCCGTCTTTCAGCATCTCCAGGCCCCACCCCACCCAAGCCCAGTGAGGACTCCACTCTCCCATCCTCTGGAGACATCCTCCCATCATCACTGGAGAAAATGCCCTTGGCTTCCATCAGCTCCATCAGGGAGCAGGGCACATGGAACGGGCAGCAACTCTGAATCCAACAGCCCAGAAATCATTGCCGCTCCGCCATGCACCCCCACCCTCCTCATCCCAGAGCAAGCAGCTCCCGGCTCTCAGTTTCCACCCTCGTAAAGTGGCTGGCACTCAGTGCTTACTGTGTTTCCAAGCTGATCAAATGAGAAATAGCTGCAAAAAGATGTGGCAGCGTCAAGCACTGTGGACTGCGGTAACAGGCATGCAGTTCTGGGGAGGACCCTGCAATGTACCCACCCACAACACCTGCACCCAGTAACACCCCATCCACGCCACCTGCACCGTGCAGCACCCCCACCCATGACACCTGCACCCTGCAGCACCCCCACCCATGCCACCTGCACCGTGCAGCACCCCCACCCACGCCACCTGCACCCTGCAGCACCCCCACCCATGACACCTGCACCCTGCAGCACCCCCACCCATGCCACCTGCACCCTGCAGCACCCCCACCCATGCCACCTGCACCGTGCAGCACCCCCACTCATGCCACCTGCACCCTGCAGCACCCCCACCCATGACACCTGCACCGTGCAGCACCCCCACTCATGCCACCTGCACCGTGCAGCACCCCCACTCATGCCACCTGCACCGTGCAGCACCCCCACTCATGCCACCTGCACCCTGCAGCACCCCCACCCATGCCACCTGCACCCTGCAGCACCCCCACCCATGACACCTGCACCCTGCAGCACCCCCACCCACGCCACCTGCACCGTGCAGCACCCCCACCCATGCCACCTGCAGGTGCAACAACCCACCCTGCAATGTCTGCATCCTGCAACACCCCACCCATGCCACCTGCACCTGCAAGAACCCACCCACACCACCTGCACCGTGCAGCACCCCCACCCATGACACCTGCACCCTGCAGCACCCCCACCCATGACACCTGCACCCTGCAGCACCCCCACCCATGACACCTGCACCCTGCAGCACCCCCACCCATGACACCTGCACCATGCAGCACCCCCACCCATGACACCTGCACCCTGCAGCACCCCCACCCATGACACCTGCACCATGCAGCACCCCCACCCATGACACCTGCACCCTGCAGCACCCCCACCCATGACACCTGCACCATGCAGCACCCCCACCCATGACACCTGCACCATGCAGCACCCCCACTCATGACACCTGCACCCTGCAGCACCCCCACCCATGACACCTGCACCCTGCAGCACCCCCACTCATGCCACCTGCACCCTGAGGCACCCCCACCCATGACACCTGCACCCTGCGGCACCCCCACCCACGCCACCTGCACCCTGAGGCACCCCCACCCACGACACCTGCACCCTGCGGCACCCCCACACCCCCACCCACGACACCTGCACCTGCAACAACCCCACCCACACCACCTGCACCCTGCAATGCCCCCACCCTGCAACACCTGCACCCTGCAACAGTCCATCCATGACACCTGCACCGTGCAATGCCCCCACCCTGCAACACCTGCTCTTCGCAACACCTCAACCCAGGACACCTGCGCCCTGCAAAGCCCCCACCCAGGACACCTGCACCCTGCAACGCCCTCACCCATGACACCTGCACCCTGCAATGCCCCCCACCCACGACACTTGCACCCTGCAACACCCCACCCACAACACTTGCACCTGCATAGAATGGAGGGTCCCAAGCCTGCTTCCTAAAAGGACAGGAGACAGCTCCAGGGGCCTCTGAGCCTTGATGCGCTAAGGTCAAGTCTAAGTCTGTCCATTTACGAAGGGAAGTTGATTTACCAGGTCTAAAGATTTTAAATCTAATATTGTTGGGAAAAACAGGTCTTGCAATGCATGTCTCTGAGCAAGCGGGAAAACAAGTGTGTGTAGAAACGTATCTGTTTATACATGTGTGTGCATATGTGTGGGATTCATGCAGGTGTGTGTGTGCGTGTACACCTGTGCAGGTGCATGTGCATGTGCACACATGTAGACGAGGTGTGTGTGCATGCACACAGTGTGTATGCACATGTGTATTTGTGTGTTCATGTCTGTGTGTGTATATGGCTACACAGGTACACAAGTAGGTGTGTAGCTGTCAGGCGCAGTGGCTCACAGCTGTAATCCCAGCACTTCGGGAGACTGAGGCTGGCAGATCACCTGAGGTCAGGAGTTGGACAGCAGCCTGGCCAACATGGTGAAACCCGTTTCTACAAAAAATACAAAACTTAGCCTGGTGTGGTGGCTCACGCCTCTTCCAGCTACTTGGGAGGCTGAGACACGAGAATGGCTTGAACCCGGGAGGCAGAAGTTTTAGCGAGCCAAGATCATGCCACTGCACTCCACCTGGGCAACAGAGCAAGGCCCTTAAAAAAAAAAAAAAAAAAAAAGGAGGTGTGAGGCTCATTTGTGTTTATCCACACTGAGACCGCCCGCATCTATGCACTGCACTGCAGCCCCCAAGAAACCTTTCGAGCACAGAGCGGCACTGAGGTCAGAGGGACTATCTCTGTCTTTAGGAGGCGGCAGCCCTGGGGTCCCACCCTGGCACCCCTGGCAGCCAGGTGACCAGGCCACACCACAGCCTGGGTTCTTTGCCTTGTGACGAGGAGAAAAGTCACTCTCATTCAGGCAAAGTGCAGTAGGCAGAGGGCTGGGCCTGACAGAAGTCCTCAGGGCTGGCAAATTAGAACCAGGCCCACACCCTCTGCCTCACCCAGAGTCTCAGGCAGGTGCCTGCGGCCAGGGCAGGAAGGGCTTCCTGGCGCCCGCCAGAGCCTCAGGGTTGCATTCCTGTGCCCCCAGCCCCCCACCCCTCCTCTCTCCTGCATGGCTTGTCTGCAGCCCCTTCATGGCCTGGAGGCAGCGGCAGCCTCTGTCTGTTCACCCTTCGGCGCCCACTCACTATCTGCAGATGGACGAAGGAAGCGGGCACTGTGGAGGGGAAGGGGCGGGCAGCAGCCCTGCCATGGGCGTTACCCACACGCACCCAGGCTGTACACACTGCACACATCTGTGCCCGACATCTGCCCCAGCAACTGCCTGGCATCCTCCTCAGAAAAGCGGCCCTTGCTGAAGAATGACTTTTCCTCCTCACTGAGGAAAATCGCACTTTCCAACCTGGAAAAAATAAAGTACTTTATTTCAAATGACGTATTTCCAAAGTCAGCGTTTCACACTAACACACGTTTTCATTCCTTGATTTGACAGACAGTCCTGGAGCCGGGGTGGAGACAGAGATTCAAAAACAACAACAAAAGCAACAGAAAGTAGCTCATGCTTGTAATCCCAGAACTGGGAGGCCCAGGTGGCCGGATCCCTTGAGGCAGGGGTTCAAGACCAGCCTGGTCAACATGGTGAAACCCTGTCTTTATAAAAATACAAAATTAGCCAGGTGTGGTGGCATGAGCCTGTAATCCCAGCTGCTCGGGAGGCTGAGGCAGGAGAATCACTTGAACCCAGGAAAAAGAGGTTACAGTGAGCTGAGATTGTGCCGCCACTGCACTCCACCCTGGGCAACATCGTAAGATTCTGTCAAAAACAAACAAACAAAAAACAGATCCTGCCCTCAAGGGGTGCTTATGTGGTCAGGGGCAGATACCCAGAAGCAGGAAAGGCTGCAACAGATGCAAACAAGTACTGGCATCTTAGGACAGTGAGCTCCTAGGCAGCCTTCAAAGCCCCATCCCAAATGTCCCCTCCCTTATGAAGCCCCGTGTGACAGCTGCAGGCAGAACCAGTCCAATCACTCCACATTGTAAACTCCCACTGCTTCTTGTACAACCTCTGCCAGCGCTCCCCTGAGTGCCCAGCATAAACTCAGGGTACTCCCATAGTCAGGGACAGGAGCTGCAGGAAGGAATAGAGAGAGAAGGAGAGAGGGAGAGAGGGAGGGAGGAAGAAAGGGGGAAATTTTTTGCTTATACGACTAAATCACCAGTAAAATATGAAACTTTGAAATGCACCTTATTGAGATTGAAAAAAAAAAACTCAGAGAAGCTTATAGCTCATTCTGCAAAATAACAGGCCTATATTCTTTAAAAACTTCAAAGAAAGACTGAAAAGCTGTCTCGTGTTAAGGAGGAAAGACAAGATATCAGAAGAGACACACGTCTGAAATTTTCATTGTGTATAAAGGGCGTCATTGTGACAGCTGGTGAAATCTGGATAAGGTCACAGATAGCAGCACTGAATCAGTGTTCACTTCCCGATTTTCACAGTTGTGCTGTGGTTACGTTAGCAGATGTCCTGGTTTCAGAAACCACATTCTGCCCGTTTAAGGGTAAAGGAACATCATGCTTACAACTTACTCTCAAAGGGTTTAGAAAAAAATAGAAGTGAAAGAAAGTCACAAAGCAAGAGTCATAACATGTTAACATTTGTGCAGTCCGGGCTAGGGCACGTGGGAATGTGACATTCTTTTTGCAAGTTTCATCTAAGTCTGAAATTGTGTCACAAATAAAGCTAAAGAAAAATAAAAGAAGAGCCACCAAGTTGTTCATTAAACGAAAGATGAAAACCCAGGGTGTAGAATAGGAAAGATATTCAGCAAACATTTGTTGAGTGGATGAGAGAAGTCAGAGGTGCTCCAGCTGTGGACAGGACCAATGGCACACGGCCCCGTCATCCTTCTGGGTTAAATGAGGAAGGGAACAAACTGGCTCATTCCCCGGCTCTTCTCTGACCCTTTGTAAGTTCAGTACATGTTGTCTTCACACCGACCCCAGTGACCTGTTGAGAAGTTGGGTCTCCCTTGGAGATGGTAGGAATCAGCTAGACCAAGGATCCCCAAAGAGGGCTCCGTGGAGCAGCAGCTCAGCCAAAAGCGAACAGGGTTGTGTGAGAAGAGGATTCTGGAGGTTCAGTAGGTATGGAAAAGGCATTTCAACAGGAAAAAGACGTCTTGCTTGTGCTGGGAGTCCCTAGGATCACCCTCAAGGGATGTGGACAGAGCTTTGCCCCCTCCTAGGGCATGACGTGGTCTGTGATGGAGTTGTGGATGGGAACATGCTTTGAGAACGGCTGGTCTAGCTCCTGACATCAGCGCATGGCCTGGCCAGCTTCCAGCTGCTTCTGATGCAGAGGTGCCAGAGTTACCAGAGCAAACAGACCCTTTCCAACAGGGGAACAAATAAATGGCTTGATGAGGCATGGTGACCAATGGCCACCGAGACCTGGTCTGAGAGGTCTTGGTCTGTCGCAGCTCCAAACATTGAAAAGGAACATTGAAGACAAGCTTCTCATTGGTGAGGCCAGGACCAGGGTCACATGACCCAGAAAGTGGCCTCTCCATGCACCCACATTCCCCGGGCTCCTTGACTGAGGCCTTAAGAAGGTCAAGTCCAGGGAAACAGAATTCCATCAAAGGATGGGCACAGCTGACCCCTCTCCGAAGACCCCCTGCTGTTGCTCACACCAGGCAGTGAGGACAGAGAAGTGAGCAAGGAAATCTTTTGGAGTTTCCTCGCTGGGGAAGCCTGGTCACAGGCCGGGTGGGAGTCACATAGGAAGAGGCATATGGCCAGAAGAGTGTCCCCACAGAGGAGCCATGGGGGCTGATGGGAGGCCCCAGGAGAACAGGGGGGTTGGTGAGAGGGGCAACCCCAGGCAGAAGGACACACGTGTCACCCAGAGTAGTTTCAGAAGGTGCAAGTTACTCTGCACAGTTGCACTCGAGTGAGCTGATGGCAAGCCCTGACCTGGCCATGGGGGCCTGCGAGGCCGGACCCAGAAGCTATTCAGGGCTTATGGAGGAGAGCGACTGAGGTGTGTATTGGATTAAATAGCACCCTTCGATTCCTGCCTCTCGGAACCTCAGAAGGTAAGCTTTTCTGGAAAAGGGATCTTTGTAGATGTAATTAGTTCAGCTAAGATGAAGAGAGGCTGGAGTCACATGGGCCCTAGGAGACGGGCACCCTTATAAGAAGACAACAGAGAAGACACGCAGAGGAAGACAGCCATGCAGAGAGGAGGCACAGTGCAGGGATGCGGCCACAAGCCAAGGAATGCTCAGGGCAGCTGGGAGCTGGAAGAGACAGGAAGGACCCTCTCCTAGAGGCTCCGAGGAAATGTGGCTCTGCTGGCACTTGGTTTCAGACTTCTGGCCTCTAGAACTCTGAACGAGCACATTTCTGTTGCGTGAAGCCCTGGGTGTGCAGCGTCTTATCATGGTGGCCACGGGAAGATAAAGCACGTGGACAGGTGTGCATTCAAGAGAACACTCTCTCTGCAGCAGCCCAGAGGAAGGACACCAGGGGACCCTGGGGCCAGGCACTGGGGCCAAGGGGGAAGCAGCCTGAGGACGAGGGAAGGGACTAGGGGTTGTCCACAGTGACTTCCAGGCTTGTGACCCTGGAAGCCAGGTGGACGGCAGCAATGTCCCCTTAGGTATGATGGGGGGGGGTTCAGGAAGGGGAGGGGCTCCGCCACTCACTCGGACACTGGGCCCTGCATGCTGACGAGGCTGCTGGGCACAAAGCCCACCTGGCCCAAGGCTGCGTGTCGGCCCACGCACCAGGGCAGGCCGGGCACCTGCGCCCCGAGGATCTCAATGAGGTCGCCACTTTGGAAGGTCATCTCTTCAGGCCCCGAGCCCTGGAAGTCTGCCAACGCCGAGGCCAGCCCCATAGCTGTGGAAGAAGGCCACACGGTGAGTGCCAGGGAGACCCTATGGGGCCAGAGGAGGCAGACAGGGCCGATGGCAGCCAGCTACTCTGGACCCTGGGGAATTCATCTTCTGGCTGCTAGGAGGTTTGTAGTGAAGCTTGGCCTCTGCAATGAAGGAGGGGAAGTCTACATGGTCCTCAGAGGGGGTGGGTTTTTTCTTTGATTCTGAGACGGAGTTTCGCTCTTGTTGCCCAGGCTGGAGTGCAGTGGCACAATCTCGGTTCACTACAACCTCTGCCTCCCGGGTTCAAGCAATTCTTCTGCCTCAGTCTCCCAACTAGCTGGGATTACAGGCACCTGCCACCACACCCAGTTAATTTTTGTATTTTTAGTAGAGACAAGGTTTCACCATGTTGGCCAGGCTGGTCTCAAAGTCCTGACCTTAGGTGATCTCCCCACCTCGGCCTCTCAAAAGTGCTGGGATTACAAGCATGAGCCACCGCACCCAACCAGAAGGAGTGTTTTGATCCCTCCATTGAAGATGAGAAAAATGGAGGCTTGGAGAGCCTCATTGATAAATGAGCCTCAACCATCAGCCTCCAAGGCTGGGCTCTTTCCTCCTGCAGCCACGATCCCCAGCCCCACCTCCTCCCCACCCCACCTGGCATGGGGTTCTGTCCCCCCGACAGGTGCACCAGCCACCCAGACACTGGCAGCTTGGCACAGAGCAAAAAGCGCTGGACCTGGCATCCAAGCAGAAGGGCTGCTGGCAGTGCCAACGTTTCACAAGAGGATGAAGTCACGGTCCTCTGTCAGTGAGCGTGGCAAATTCAGCCGACGCCAGCCCACCTCGGCCCAGGGCCTTCTAGGTGTTTCATGCGGTGACAGGAGGATCGAGTCTGGGACTGTCGTGTCGCCCTGTCTGAGAAGTGACATTTGGGAGCTCTTTGGAGACAGTGGCCAGGGGCCCTGGAGCAGCTTCACGGAGCATCCTGTGAGGCAGCATCAGCCCCCCACGCAGAGCTTCCTGAGTGTCAGTTATGACCCTGCATAGCTATGATCCTGCAGGCTGGAGATTAGGCTGGTACAAAAGTAACTGAGGTTTTTGCCATTGAAAGTAAGAACAAAAACTGCAGATATTTTTGCTCCACCTAATAGCTGTCACCCTGGCTTGGGGAGGATCTAGGGCAACTTCCAAAATATTGGTGCCACTCCCTGGCACACAACTTCCCTGGGCAAGAGAGGCCCATGGAGACACTTACCCATCCGCGGGTCGTCACGCATCACAGGGCCACCCATGAAGTCATCAATGGGGTCCTGGGGGACCCTAAGAGCCCACCTGGAGCCGGGAGAGGGAGGTTTTTGCTGCGGGATTTCAAATGTGGGGCAGATACATTCTGTGCAGAGACTGGACAGATCAGCAGCCCCCAACAGCCTGAGCAGGTCCCTCGCCTCCCCCGACACACACATGTGCACGTGCACACACACACACACGCCTGTCCGGGTGTGTGGCCTTCAGGTTCAGTGTGTGTGACACTGCCTCCAGGGAGCCCTATGCCCCTCAGCCTAGGCACAGAAACACAACTTTCCCTGTGAACCTGGAGCCCTGCAGACCCCCAAAACATCTGCCCTCCCCCAGCTCCGCACAGTGAGGCATGAGGGAAACCCCAGCCTGGGGCTCTGGAGGCCTGGATTCAAATCCTGGTGCCACTGCAACTTTGCCAGATAACCTGGAGAGATCACTCCTCTCTCTGGGCCTGAGTTTCTTCAGCCAGAAAAATAAAGGAAACTGGACTAGATGCCTGACAGTCCCTCTTTCCCAGATGACAGAACACACTCAGCGTCCGCTGTTGGGTAAGCACTGGCCACAGCACATAGGGAGGATTCTTAGGAGAAGCTCCTCTTGGGTCTCAAGCCACAGCCTGGCACTTGAGATGCTGCAGACCAAGAGATTGAGGTTCTTTCCTTGCTTTGGCTACCAGGAGGCTCCAAGCCATGTTAACCCCCGCTGCTTCAGCGAGTGAACAGGAGCTAGCATGTCACCTGTCCTCACATCCCCTGGCTCTACCTGTGGGTCCCGTGTGCCTCCTCCCTATGTGTATACACGTTTTATGTAACTTCCTAAAAAGCTTTTCAAATGTGCCTGGTGAGAGCTCACGCTGCACCTCCTGTGCCATAGAACCCAGGATAGCCCTGCTGGGTGAATGTCCTTGGCCCGTCGTGCAGCTGGCAGGCCAGAGGCCCAGAGAGGTAGACTGACTTGCTGAGGCTACACAGCTGGGAAGTAGCAGAAACAAGGCCAGGGCCAGGTCTGTCTGGGGCTCCCACCATTCTCTGTCCACCCCCTTGACCTCCAGACAGCCCAGGCCTGGGGGTCTCGGTGAGGCCGACAGCTCTCCGAGCAGCAAAGGCCGGTACGTACTGATGAAATGGAATCAAAGGTTCCGGGGCGGCTGCCACTGCCACCTCCTCAGAGGATGCGCTGGGACTCGGCGGTGAAGCGTCTGTTTCTGGGGCCGCCTCTCCCTGGGGAGCCCCTGGAGCCTGCCTGAGGGCCTGGGGGCCAAGTCCTGAATCCCAGGGACCCGTCATCACTCTCACATGGTGGTCAGGACACAGAACGAAGAAGGGCCCTTCAAAAGGACGGAGGGCTTCACTGAGGGTGGCCAGAGCAGGCGCAGCTTTGGCCCTGCCCCCCACACCCCTGCTGGACACACAGCAAAGGCAGCACCCGCAGGAGTGGCCCCCACAATGTCTGCAGGCACAGAAACCCAAAGGGGCCCAACCGGGAAGCAGGCCTAGGACAGGGTCCCAGCTCTGCCTCCATGTGCTGTGTGAGGCTGGGCCTCGGTTTCCTTGCCTGCATGATGGGGAGCCAGATGTGGGATCCCCAGAGCCCTCCTGCACGGGCTTCCCTGGCCAGCCCAGTCACCACTGGCAGGCCCCCTCCTGCCGTAGTCAGGTAGGAAAGGGAACCTCATGTCCCCTCCTCAGACTCGGGGCCAACCAAGAGGCCAGCACAGCAGCCACGTGAGGGACAGGCGGTGGGGCTCACACTAGACAGAACCTCTCCTCTGCCGGTTCCCAGGCATCTCTGTGTCCCTGCGGCTGGCCAAGGTCTCTACAGCTAAGTGACAGTGCCACACCAAGCACACCTCCCTGCCTGAAGCACCCCTCCACCTCCAGAGGCTCCACAGCCCAAGCCCCAGGCATGTTCAGCACGGCCAGACCCAGGCTGTCACCCCACAGCCCCAGGCGTGCCCAGCACAGCTGGACCCAGGCCTTCACCCCACGGCCCCAGGTGTGCCCAGCACAGCCGGATCTCAGCTGTTGCCCCACACAGCACTCACCTTCCTGGATGAGGAGGCTCTCGTGGGTCAGTCTCAAGGCATTCTCATCCACGTGGACTTGGATGGCCGTCTCCTCCTCCTCGCTGGGCGAGAGCAACCAGAAGGCCTGGTCCACAAGCAGGTTTGCCAGGCAGTGATGAGTGAAGCCTGCAGAGGCCAGGCCCAGTCACCCATGGGCTCCAGAAGAGGGGCAGGGAGGCAGGGAAGCCTGTGTGGCCCCATGTTGGCCAGGACCAGCCACCCGTGGGCTCCAGAAGACGGGCAGGGAAGCAGGGAAGCCCGTGTGGCCCCATGTTGGCTGAGCCCTGCACTGACCAGGTCCAGGGAGGTCATGGAGGACACACACCGGCCCTGGGGTGCCCACAGTACTGGCGACACCCAGCAGCCACGGTCTGACTGGGCTGTGAGAGGCCAAACCCAGTTCCACCGCCCACCAGCGGTGACCATGGTCAAGTTATCTGACCTCTCCACGCCTCCGTATTCTCCTCTGTTAGACGGAGACCATGTGGCTGGGGGCTGTGCAGGCCACGGAGGCTGTGGGCCAGCCGCAAGGTGGGTCTAAAATGCACCTGCGTGAGCCCCGCCCACATCCTGAGCCAATCCCTGTTTCCATTTCTATCAAGGGAAACCTGTTTCTGGGATGCTACGAGCTCCCCCCTCCCATCTGGGGCAGTGAGCCTTCGTTCACTGCAGCTCGACTAGGAGGCCCGTGCACACTTAAGGCACAGACAAGTGATGTGAGGATCCTCCCCCCACTCAGCGTAGCGTGGACTCTGCAGGACGGGGATGGGAAGTCTGCTGCCCTGTGGATGGATGCCCCTGCCTTGTGGCCATCACTGTGGAAGGGCAGCCAAGGATAAGCCACTTCCTCCAAGAGCCGACCAAGGAGCCCACGTCTACAGTGGGAAGAGCGTCGGCCCTGCTCACACGTGCTCGGGGAATTGTGGCTACAGTTCTCAATTCTCTTTTTTTTTTTTTTTTGAGACACAGTCTCCCTCTGTTGCCCAGGCTGGAGTGCAATAGCACGATCTCGGCTCACTGCAAACTCTGCCTTGGGTTCAAGCGATTCTCCTGCCTCAGCCTCCCAAGTGCCTGGGAATACAGGTGCCCACCACCACTCTCAGCTAATTTTTTGTATTTTTAGTAGAGACGGGGTTTCACTGTGTTAGCCAGGATGGTCTCAATCTCCTGACCTCGTGATCTGCCCACCTCGGCCTCCCAAAGTGCTGGGATTATTATTCCTAATTTTTTCAGCCCTCAAAGTGAGGTAGTGTAGAAAGATCCCCAGGAGGCTCCGTTAGAGCCTGGAATACCTCCCAGTGGAACAGGGAATGTTCCAGGAAGAGCTCGCGTGGGTCAGCTTTCCCGGTCCACCGAGGCCCCTGGATGCCAGCCTCTCTCAAGTTCTAGTTGAGTGAAATCATAGAGGGCAGCGTGTGAAGTAACTAGAAGCACAGCCTAAATCATTCTTGCAACAAAGACCTGCATCCGTGTACGACTCGGATTTGCCTAATTGACGTTTCTCCCGGAGAAGCAGGTGCGCACGCCAGTGTCGCCGTCCCACTAGCGGGGCCTTTGTGAACCAGCCTATTCTAAAGCACAGATTTGTGGCTCACACCTGTAATCCCAGCACTTTGGGAGGCTGAGACAGGCAGATCACCTGAGGTCAGGAGTTTGAGACAGCCTGGTCAACATGGTGATACCCCGTCTCTACTAAAAATAAAAAAAATTAGCTGGGCGTGGTGGCACATGCCTGTAGTCCCAGCTACTCTGGAGGCAGAGGCAGGAGAATCGCTTGAACCCGGGAGGCAGAGGTTGCAGTGAGCTGAGACTGCGCCACCGCACTCCAGCCTGGGCGACAGAGCAAGACTCCATCTCAAAACAGTAAATAAATAGAGCACCAATTTGTAATTGAAGTGCATGGTGTGTAACCAGCGTCTTCCAACGGGTGTCCCCATGACTGATTCTGGGAGGGTCACCTCTTTACCAAGAGCGTGGTAGGTAGAAAACTTCCAGATTTCTTCAAAAGTCTTGAACGTCACCACGATCCGGTCCTGGTCACTGTGGATGGACAGCAGCCTGGCTGCTAACTCCTGCAGAGGAAGATACAGGAATTCCAGAGGTCCCCGGAGCTCTGGGGCATCTGTCAGGAGGACGGGGTCCACATGACAGGGACATCTGGCTGCTGTGGCCCTGGCGGGGGGTGACATGCCCAGGGCAGATTCCTTCCCAGCCTGTCAGTGCCTCCTCCCCTGCTCTCAAGCCAGCCGTGGCTCCCCAGAGCCTGTGGGGAAAAGCCCCTGCCCTGCCCAGAACTCACGTGGCCCCCATGCCCTGTCTTCTCACCCTCAACGCCTCCCACTCAGCACCCACACACTGGTGCCCACTGGTTCCCCCAGCCTAAGCTGGTCCCTGTCCGGCTGTGCTCTCAGCCCTGAGTGGCCCTGGCCCCACCTGCAGTGCCAGCTCTGATTTCCATCCCACCGCCAACATCCCCTTTCCTCTGGTTTCTATAAATCAGTGTTGATAGGGGCACAAAAAATAACAGCAGCTAACACCGGAGCTCTTACAACTCAGGAAGCGTGTGTTTGGGGGGCACTATTAGAGTCTCCATTTGAGAGATAAAAATAAGGTCCCGCTGCTTTCTTTCTTTCTTTTTTTTTTTTTTTTTTTTGGCAGAGTCTCGCTCTGTCGCCCAGGCTGGAGTGCAGTGGTGTGATCTCGGCTCACTGCAACCTCCACCTCCCAGGTTCAAGCAATTCTCTGCCAAAGCCTCCCAAGTAGCTGAGACTATAGGCACCCGCCACCATGCCTGGCTAATTTTTATATTTTTAGTAGAGACAGGATTTCACCGTCTTGGCCAGGCTGGTTTTGAACTCCTGACCTTGTGATCCACCCGCCTCAGCCTCCGAAAGTGCTGGGACTACAGGTGCGAGCCACCACACCTGGCCTTTTCTTTAGTTTCTTTAGAGCTGAGGTACCACTCTGCTGCCCAGGCTGGAGTGCGGTGGCACAATCACGGTTCCCTGCAGCCTCAACCTCCTGGGCCAGGTCATCCGCCCATTTTAGCCTCCCAGATGGCTGGAACCACAGGTGTGCACCATCACACCTGGCTAACTTTCTTATTTTTTGTAGAGATGGGGTCTCCCTATGTTCCTCAAGCTGGTCTTGAACTCCTGGGCTCAAGTGATCCTCCTTCCTCGTTTTCCCAAAGTGCTTGGATTACAGGTGTGAGTTGCCATGCCCCCTGAAGGCCTCATTTCTTATCCACAGTCTTACCTCTGTAAGTCGCTCAGCTGAGACTCTAGCCTGGAACCAGTATGCTGACCCAGTTCACCCGTGCCTGGCATCGCCCACCACAGCCCCACATGTTGAGCAGGCACCCTGCAGGTGCTTGGTGTGAGTTAATCACATAACCCTCAAGTCGGCTCCTGGGGATGTGATTCTAAGCATCCCCACTATGTGGCTGAGGAAGGGGGTTCACAGAGGCTAACGGGCACCAGCCAAGGCCAGGCTGGTCCAACCCCAGTCAGTGCTGGTAACGCCCAGCCCGGCTCCCAAGCCCCCAGCCCTCAGCCACTGGGAGGTCTGCCAGGCCCAGACACACCCTGTGCCCTCCTCCCCAGAATGCTGGTGTGTACAGAGGCTCAAGGGAGGCTGGCTTTGTCACCAGGAAGAAAATAAGACTAGCTTCACACTTGTCCCTAACTCCCCATCAAAGAGACTTTGACAGTCCTCGAGGGTGGAGGGCAGGGGAAGAAAGGGACAGCTCAGTGGTCATCAGGGCTGGGGCTGTGGGAGAGCAGAGGGACAATCACGTGCCCCCCACGAGGCAAGTGGGAGAAACAACCCCTCACTGCCCCTGGCGATCACAGCCTCGCCTCCTAGGCCACCTGAGCAACTCTCATCTCTGAGACCTGCCTCCTGTGTCCCTGGTCCCAGGCACTGCACCCCAGCCCCTCCCTCCCCTCAACTCCAGCTCCTGCCCCTGCCCAGGCCCCAGAGGACTACTCACCCCAAGCACGCGGGCCATCTCCCGGCTGTCATTCTCCAGAAGGCGGAGCTGGCCCCGCAGAGCCTGCTGCAGGCTGGGATCCTGCAGCCCACTCTTCCTCTGTACAGCCAGCAGCTGCAGGGTCAAGTCTGGAGGGGCAGATGGAGGTTGGGCAGTTGGCCTGGCCTGGGCTTGAAGGTCTGTGGGTCACTGTCCTCCCCCACCAGCCTCCAACCCACATACCTGACCCCGACGGCCTGGGGAGCCCAAGCCCTGGGTTGCCAACCTTGTCCCACCCCTGCAAAGGCCTTGGACCGTTGTTTCGATCCCAGCCTGTTTCCTTCGGGTGAGTGCCTGTCCTACAGAGTGATGGGGACAAGCAGACTCGTGTCCCCTGTAGGCCAGCACAGCAACCACTGCACACAAATGTTCTCTCCTCCCTGTCACCATGACCTCCGATCCTGCCCCCCAGCGCCTGCCCCAGACGGTTGCTGCTTTGGAACTTGCAGGTGCAGGACCTGGGCATCTGCATTTAGCAAGCCCCTCCTCCACCCCCATGGTGACTGTAAAGGGGGAACTCTGGGACCATGGGGGCACCCACCTCCAGCAGACACCCCACAAGCACCTTGGAAATCTCAGTTCCGCCTACCTAAGCCAGCTCCTCTCCAATTCTTCCCCGTCTCTCAGAGGGCAGAAGGCCCCCCTGTACCATCCCGAGCTCAGATCAGTGACACCTCCCCATTCACACACCACATCAGCCACCAGCAAACCCCGTGGGCTCCACCCTCCACCCCACCCCATCCCCATCGTGGTTCTGGGCCCCGGCGGGTCTGCCCTAGCCAGCTGTCCACACCTGGCCCTCCCTCCTGTCTGTCCACACCTGGCCCTCCCTCCTGTCTGTCCCCTGGTCCGTGCAGAGCTTTGACATGACATGCATGCTCGGACCCATCGGCCCTGCTCCCGGCTGTCCCTGTGGCACCATCCAGCGGAAACTTCTGCAGCAGCTGGTTTGCGCTCTGTCTGCAGTGTCCCATTTGGGGGCCACCCACTGCAGGGGCTGTGGAACTCCTGAGATCCACGTCCCTCCTCACTCTCCGAGGCTGGAGATTTCCCACCAGAATACAGGCTCCCACGCTGTGACCCTGTCTGCCCTGTGCGCTATCCCTTCCCGGTGCCTGGAACCGCGGAGAAAAAAGCCTTCCTGTTCCTCCAGGTCAACACTCATCCCCAGAGCTACAGGCAGCCGCATTCTAGGGGCTTTGGCCCTCTATGGAGGGGGTGCCCCAAGGGAGAAGCAGAGAGAGGGGGAAGACAATGAGGAGAGAAGGGGAGGAGGAGAGCAGGGAGAGGGGAGAAAACAGGAGGGGGAGACGGAGGAAGACGGGAGAAACTAGGAGGAGAAAAGAGAGGCAGGGGGCGGAAACGGGAGGGGAAGAGGGAGGAAGAGGGGAGGAAATGAGAGGGGGAGAGGAAGGGAGGGGGAGAAAACGGGAGGGGAAGAGGGAGGAAGAGGGGAGGAAATGAGAGGGGGAGAGGAAGGGAGGGGGAGAAAACGGGAGGGAGGAGGAGGAAGAGGGGAGGAAATGAGAGGGGGAGAGGAAGGGAGGGGGAGAAAACGGGAGGGAGGAGGAGGAAGAGGAGAGGAAATGAGGGGGAGAGGAGGGAGGGGTGGAAATGGGAGGGGGAGAGGGAGGAAGAGGGGCGGAAATGAGAGGGGGAGAGGAAGGGAGGGGGTGGAAATGGGAGGGGGAGAGGGAGGAAAAGGGGAGGAAATGAGAGGGGGAGAGGAAGGGAGGGGGTGGAAATGGGGGGGAGGAGGAAGAGGGGAGGAAATGAGAGGGGGAGAGGAAGGGAGGGGGAGAAAATGGGAGGGGGAAGGGAGGAAGAGGGGCGGAAATGAGAGGGGGAGAGGAAGGGAGGGGGAGAAATTGGGGGGAGGAGGAAAAGGGGAGGAAATGAGAGGGGGAGAGGAAGGGAGGGGGAGAAAATAGGGGGGAGGAGGAAGAAGGGAAGGAAATGAGAGGGGGAGAGGAAGGGAGGGGGAGAAAATGGGAGGGGGAAGGGAGGAAGAGGGGCGGAAATGAGAGGGGGAGAGGAAGGGAGGGGGAGAAAACGGGAGGGAGGAGGAGGAAGAGGAGAGGAAATGAGGGGGAGAGGAGGGAGGGGTGGAAATGGGAGGGGGAGAGGGAGGAAGAGGGGCGGAAATGAGAGGGGGAGAGGAAGGGAGGGGGTGGAAATGGGAGGGGGAGAGGGAGGAAAAGGGGAGGAAATGAGAGGGGGAGAGGAAGGGAGGGTTAGAGAGAGATGGCGAAGAGACAGAGAGAGATGGACTCTCGCACCTTTGAATGAGCTTGAAGCACCTGCCTGAGAGTTTTCTGCAGGGGACCGTGGAGGAAACACCCTCACCTCCCCACACCCCGAGACTTCTGGAACCTGGAATCCACTCCCCCAGGAGGAGGTACCAGCCCATCATTTTACAACCCATCTTAGCCTGAAGTTCCTGCTCCCCGTAAAAGGGTGGGCACTGCATTTTCTTTTTTTTTTCCTTTTTTTTTTTTTTTTAGAACAGAGTCTCTCTCTGTCACTCAGGCTGGAGCGCAATGGTGCAATCTCAACTCTCTGCAACCTCTGCCTCCAGGGTTCAAGTGATTCTTCTGCCTCAGCCTCCCCAGTAGCTGGGATTACAGGCACGTGACAGCTGATTTTTGTATTTTTAATAGAGATGGGGTTTCACCATATTGGCCAGGCTGGTCTTGACCTCCTGACCTCGAGTGATCCACCCGCCTTGGCCTCCCAAAGTGCTGGGATGACAGGTGTGAGCCACCGCTCCCGGCCTGCATTTATCAAATTCTAAAGCATTTTTCCCATTGCCTAACATGTCCTGGTCATCCTGAGTGGCCACCAGCCGTGCTGGCCACACAGTAGGAAAGTCAGAGGACAGGTGACTGTCACAGCAATGGTGAAAAGCCAGCAATGGATTCAGGGTCTCCACTCCTCCCCAGCCGGCGTTGAGGGTCTCCAGGGTAAAGGACTTCTTACCACCTCCACAGCCCGAAGCTTCCTGGGCCCCCTCTGTGGGCTCTGCTCCCTCGCCCAGGGCCGCCTCCCTCCACCCGTGCCCCATGGAGATCCCACTCAGGGGAAGCCTGTGCCTGGATGCCTTGCCCCACGATGCAGTGGGCACGTTCGTCCACTTCCCCTTTTTTTGTTTGTGTTTGAGACGGAGTCTTGCCCTGTCACCAGGCTGGAGGGCAGTGGTGTGATCTCATCACTGCAACCTCTGCCTCCCGGGTTCAAGCAATGCCCCTGCCTCAGCCTCCCGAGTAGCTGGGACTACAGGTGCGCACCACCACGTCCAGCTAACTTTTGTATTTTCAGTAGAGATAGGATTTTACCATGTTGGCCAGGATGGTCTTGATCTGACTTCATGATCCGCCCACCTCGGCCTCACAAAGTGCTGGGATTCCAGGCGTGAGCCACTTTGCCTGGCCTTTTCATCTACTTCTTGCCATATGGGACTTGTGAAGCCCCTCCCCAGGGTGTCACCCATGGAGTCCTCAGGATCTGTGTCCCCTGTTTGTGCAGATATACACAGGAACACCTAAGGGAGCCCCCAGGGGCTGTGTCCCCCTCTGGGAGCAGGCCTTGGGCATCTGCATTTAACAAGCCTCTCTTTCTATTCCCACCGTGATTTAAGGTGGGAAGTCTGAGGCCACTCTTTGAGAAGCCCTGAGTTAGACAGTCTTTGACACCCAGGGAGCACCACAGCCCAGATTTAAACCTGAATCCCTGCTTCGGGCCAAGGACATTTACCTGTGGGATAAGCTCCCATCTGGCAGGGAGGGGTCCCAGCAGCAGGCCCATCCACGAGGGCAGGAGGAGCGTCGCCTGCAACACAGAAGATTCCCAGGATTAGGGGAGACCAGGTAAACGCCCCAGGTATCTCTGCAAGAAAAGAGGTGAGCTGTGTCCTGCACAAGCCGCTTTCCCACAGCTGCCTTCCTCCAGGCCCCGCACAGCCCAGCAAGGAGGGAAGCTGCCTGCATGTCCCGCCTTGCCCTGACGAGCTGCCCCACTCTGTGGCTTAGGACAACATCAATTGAATGATCCCGCCACTCTGGAGTTCCAGTGGGTCCCACAGAGCTAAAGTGACGGTGTGGATGGGACCCTGCTCCTTTCAGGGCCTCTGGGGAGAAGCCACTCCTCACCTTCAAGAGGCTGCACACATCCCTTGGCTTGTGGCCCCAACTTCTGCTTCTGTTGTGTCTGCACATCTCCCCCCTGCCTTCCTCCTGCAAAGGCCCTGTGATTACACAGAGGGCCTGCCCGGAGCACCTGGGAGCCCCCGAGAGCATCACCTCTCCCTCTCCAGGCTTTGCCTTCCATCACATCTGCAAAGCCCCTTTTGCTGGATGACGTAATGCAGGCGCAGGTCCCGGGGTTAAGGATGGGAGCATCTTTGGGGGACTTTATTTTGCCACCCACAGACGGGCTCAGACTCATGGCTTGTGCAGGCGGGAAGCAGGACCTGGACCCCCCTGGCTGCTGGGTTCCCCGCTGGAGGTTGCCCCTTGGGCCATTGGTCCTGCAGAGTTTGCATCTTGGCCAGGGCACTTCCTCTCGGCCCTGCGAGGTTTCTTCAGGCAGAGGCCTCGGGATCCAAGGGGATGACTCGGAAAAGCTGGGACTGCAGCAGAGGTAGTACATTTCCGTGCAGCTGGTCTTCACTGTGAGGCCTCCTGGCACCTCACTCACAGCCCTGGCCACAGCTCAGCCACAGTGCTCTTGGACCTTGCATGGCGATGGTGCCATTTCACACCAGGGTTTGCTGACGGGCTGCAGCGGTGTTTGCTTGCCCTGTGTGGCCACAGCCCATTCTTAGGCCTCATTGGCTTTGCAGCCCCCGCCCAAGCCCAGAGCCAGGCACACAGTGGGGTTCAGAAATGTCCCTAATGAGTCCAGCCCGGCGGCCACGCCTGTAATGTCAGCACCAGGGAGGCTGAGCGGGTGGATCACTTGAGGTCAGGAATTTAACAACAGCCAGGCCAGCAAGGGAAACCCCATCTCTACTAAAAATACAAAAATTAGCCAGACGTGGTGGCAGGTGCCTGTCATTCCAGCTACTTGGGAGGCTGAGGCAGGAGAATCACCTGAACCCGGAAAGCAGAGGTTGCAGTGAGCTGAGATTGCACCACTGCAACCCCAAGCTTGGGCAACAGAAGCAAGAAGGAAGGAAGGAGGGGAGAAGGGAAGGAAGGAGGGAGAGAGGGAAGGAGGGAAGGAGGGAGGGAGGGAGGAAAAGAAGGAAAGAAGAAAGAAGAAAGAAAGAGAAAGAGAGAAAGAAAGAAAGAAGGGAAAGAGAAAGAAAGAAAAAGAAAGAAAGAAAAAGAAAGAAAGAAAGAGAAGGAAGAAAGAAGGAAGGAAGAAGGAAAGAAAGAAAGAAAGAAAGAAAGAAAGAAAGAAAGAAAGAAAGAAAGAAAGAAAGAAAGAAAGAAAGAGAAAGAAAGAAAGAAAGGGAACAGGGAGGGGAGGGGAGGAGGAGGGGGATGGGGAGGAGAAGGAATGTCTCAAAAGGAAAGAGGTGTGTGTGCTCAGATCTTGGTCTTGCTGGCTGGTGCACCTGACAGTGGTAAGTGAAGCACACCCCACAGCCACCCCCGTGGGCCGAGAAGAATGTGTGCTCGGACTTCTGAGCCAAAGAATCCAGCAGCGGCCAGCCTGGAGATTCACTCCCTATCTGAGGAAGATCTGAGCCCCTGGCTTATCCTGTGGAATGCAGGCCATGCAGACCCGGATGCTTTATTTGGACGGGTTGGACGGGGGTTGCCAGGTGGAGGGTGCTGGAGGAAGGCTGTGAGCAGATGCTCCATCAATGGCCCGCTTTTCACGGCGGTGCCCTCAGGCCACTGCCACGGAGCCACCCGGTGTGTGAGTCTTCTCCATCAACCCTCTGTCACGGTCGCTGGCTCTGTGTCTCCTCCACGGCCTCTCCAACGAGGTGCCACCCCTATTGAAGTTGACAGAGGTCCGGCCCAATGGCTTCTAAACCCCATCCTCCAGTTCAGAAGCCAGGGCTCCCTGCGGACACGGCCATTCCCAGGGCCGTGCCAGGTAAAGTGCCAGCTGAGCCCGGAACGCCTCGTGTCCAGCAAAGTGACAACGAGCCCACCGAGTGAGGTGGACACGTGGAAAACCCACATCCAGGGTGATTCGCGTGGCAAAATAAGTAATGATGCATGTAGTCTGGAGACTCAGGTAAAGATGTGTGAGCCTACGCTGAAATCAACCAGTGAGTAAGTGGGGAGCGGGCAGGCTCTTCCTTATAGCAGGGAGAGGACTGCCGAGCAGGGACAGGAGGCCCCTTACAGAAGAGAGCGGACTGCTGAGCGGGGACAGGAGGCCTCAGCAGTCACCGCCCCGAAGCTCCCATCCCAAGGATTATCTCAGGCAGGCTCACCGGTGAGGAGAGGGTAGTGCTTCCTGAGTTTGATGAGAAACAGGATATTCACGCCGTTTCAGTGTCATCCCCCAGCTACTTACTAACCACAGAGGGGAGAGTAACCACGCAGCTGCCCCTTCACCAACGGCCAAAATGAGCATCAGCAGCCAGAGACTAACACACACCATCTGCAGTGAGGAAACGTCATTCTGCGGGTTCCTGCCCAAATCCCTGACATGATCCTGAGAAATATTAGCTGCACTCGAATCGAGGGACAGTCTACAAAAGAAACGAGCTGCGTTCTTCCAAACCGCAGCCTCCGATGGAAAGGCGTCTCAGAGAGGTCGCACCAGCACGAGGGGTGGCCCAGGAATTCTTTTTCTTTTTTGCTATGAAATATATTATTGGGACAATCGGCAAGATCTGAATGAGGTCCGCAGATGAGTTACGGCGTTATTAAAACCGGGAAATTGACTTTGAAATAATGACAATGCGGTTATTAAGAGGCTTCCCTGGTTTTAGAGCTATGGACACCTTTTAGGATGAAGGAGGAGCATGTCCACAGTTGACTCCCAAAAGGGTCAGAAGAAAATCACACACACACACACACACACACGCACACACGAGTACACACAGAAAGTAAAAGTGATAAGACGTGAACATTCGAGGCATCTGGATGTGAGCAAAAGGAATTATCTCTAGCCTTGGCTGCTGCCTCGCTGTCTATCTGAAATTGCCTGGAGAAGATGGGGAGGGGAAGGCGCTGAGGAGGAGCCCCGCCCCAGGCCAGCTTTCCCACGGCCCATCCAGCCTCCTCAGCTTGCATCAGCTGGGCCCACAGAAATGGGCTCCAGGCAGAGGCGATGCCACGGTACTTGGCTGAGCCTCTGGAGGAGGAAACCCCAGCCGCTCCGGCCAAAGGCTCTGACTCCCAGCACTCCCCGCCCCAGAAGCTCCCAGGTCCTGCCTGGGCCCACTGGCTCTGTTCGAGGCTGGCCTGTGACCCTCCTGCGTCTCAGTCTCCTTGTGCTCTCAGGGGCCTGGGCACGGCCCAGCCTCTTCCTTTCCGGGAGGCCTGCTCTGCAGGGAACTCCATTCCATGGCGGGGGTGGGTTCCCCAGGCCGGGCCCCGCCCCAGCCCTCCGAGCCGCCCTTCCTGGCCGACAGGCCAGTGCCTGCAGACCACTTCCCCTGTGATTCAGCACAGGAGGCCGTCCACCCTTCAGGGCAGGATCACAGGTATAAAATACTCCCCACACAGGCTCTGGGCCAGCGACAGCACTGAGCCATGGATGCCATGGTCCAAATGCATCTTCCTTCATAGATGCCTTGAGCAGTGACGGAGCAGCTACCCCTGCCAAGCCCCAGAGTCCCGAGACAGGGATGGGGGCAGCTACAAGGGGACCAGGCTGAAGCTAGGCATTGACAGGAGGAGGCCCAGGGAGGGGGTCACAGTCTCAGCTGTCTCTGGCTGGGGAGGGGCCATACAGGCCTTGGTCTCCCCTGTCTCTCTCCTCCTCCCCTTCAGGGTCCCAGGACGGGGAGGGATTCAGGAGACTGGGCACACGTCCCGGCCCGGTCCCTGACTGCAGGGTGGCCTGGCCTGGCCCTTCCCTGTCTGCACCTTGGGTGCTTCCTGGGGACAAGGGATGCCACATCCTGAGGACTCCCGGGGGTTCTAAGGCCAAACCCATGGGACTGTGTCTGGAGTGTCTCTGAACATGTGGCTTCAGAGGCCCCTGCCTTGTTCTCTGCCAGTTTTCTTATCACTGACGCACACCTGGAAAAACATGAGCTGGGCCCTGGCCTCTCAAGTGACTCAGCCGGCGCAGTCACTCCTGGTAGACACACTCGGGGTGGGCGGGGGGCGGGGGCAGGCATGGTGGCCCACGCCTGTTACCCCAGCACTTTGGGAGGCTGAGGCAGTTGGATCACGAGGTTAGGAGTTCAAGACCAGTCTGGCCAACATGATGAAACCCTGTCTCTACTAAAAATACAAAAATTAGCCAGGTGTGGTGGCATGTGCCTGTAATCTCAGCTACTCGGGAGGCTGAGGCAGGAGAATCATGTGAACCCGGGAGGTGGAGGTTGCAGTGAACCGAGATGGCGACATTGCACTCCAGCCTGGGTAACAATGCGAGAGTCCGTCTCAAAAAAAAAAAAAATAGATAAATAGTGACTTCACAAGATTTATGACAGAGGCAATCAATCAAAAAAAAGAAAAAAAATAGATAAAAAAAAATAATAAATAAACATGCAGAGGAAGGAAAGGGAGAAGTGCCGGAGAGCAGACCCCAGCCCCAGCCCCAGTCCCAGGAGGCCCAGAGGCAGACAGCGAGGTGAGGGATAGGTGGGGAGGGATGGGTGGAGAAGTGGGTGGTGAGGGTGGGGTGGACTCACCGCCTCTCCCCGGCGCCTTGGCCTCCTCAGGCCCTGCTTTCTCCCAGCTCACAGAGGGCCTCATGGCCACAGTCCGGACCTGGTCCTGGCTGCCGCCACTTCCCGCCGGCCCCACAGGCCCCCTCCCCCTGGGGGTTGGCTCCTCAGTGGTCATGGCAGGGAGGTTCTCCATGACCCATGAAGGCTTCACATGCCTGGCCCTGTGGACAGAGGGGGTGTGGTCAGCAGAGGCAGCCCCTCCAGGACCAGCACGGAGGTTGTGGCCAGGGCTGGGGTCCAGGCGTTGCGGAGTGCCTGCGCCTCTCAGACCCAGTGGGGCCCTCACCGCAGCAGGTGGCCACACCTCGTGCTGTGGCCGTGATCCCCACCGCTGCGGGGTCTCCCCTCTCCTTTCTGGGTTTGCTGTGCTCCTGTCCTCCACGGGGCCTCCTCTTGCTGGTTTTCTGCCTGGAGGCCCCTTCTCCATTGAGACAGAGCTCCTGGGTGCCTCGGGCCCCTCCTCAGGAGCGGGTCACTGCCTCTTTCCTGGGCCGTCAAGCCCTACAGATCCTGCTGAGGGAGTCAGGGCTCGGTGGCCTGTCAGAAGTCACAGAAGGACACAGAGTCCCCCTTCAGGTGTCACGTGCAGGCGCAGGGGCCATGGGGCCAGCCGCCTGGGCCAGGGCTGAGGCATACAGGGGACAGATCCCAGCTGTGGCCACAGAGACGGGGTCAGCCACGTCCTCCTCAGCTCTGGCCTCAGGAGGGGAGGATGGCAAGCATGTAGTCAAGACACCTGCTGTGCCCACAGGGACGGCCCAGTCCTGTGGGGAGCCCTGGTCCCTGACTGTGGGGGGGAAGGGTCAACCGTGCCCCGCAGAATGCCATGGACTGGGCTGTTTTCAGGCCCAGAGCCTCGGGGAGCTATGGGGATGCGGAGGAAGGGGAAGGGGCTTTGTCTGCATTAGCAGCAGAAGGGAGAGGCTTGTCATGTGTGGTGATAAGCCTCTCCCTTCTGCTGCTAATGCAGGCTCCGCTGCCCCTTCGTGGTGGAAATGTGAGGTGGAAAGAGCTAAGCCCAGCATTCCGTCAGCACCTGCCCCCGCATCACCCCGCCCCTGCGAGACATTCTGAGCAAACACTGGGACACACTCTCCAGCACGTGGACTTGTCCCCTTGCCCCCAGCAGCCGGCAAAAATCCCCTCTGCAGGCAGGGCACGGAGACCCAGGCAGCCTCTGACCTCTGTTTGGGGCAAAAATGCGGGTCTGGCCTCCTGCTGTCCCACTGCCCTTTTTGTGGTGGATGCTGGGGTCAGGACACCCAGAGCTGGGCAGGGCCTCTATCCAGGCCTCAGAGCCCCAACGGGCCCCCCAGGCTGGAGCCTGCCAGCGGCCAGGACGTCCCTCAGAGCCTCCCGTCCCTGTCCCCATCTCTATCTCCACCCTGGTCTCTGGGCAGGGAAAGTGGCAGGGGACTGGGAGGCAAACCAGACGCGTGGGGTCTGCAGTCAGGGACACAGGACGCAGCTGTGAGGGGATGCAGGAGGCCCTGGGCGTGGGGCACCTGGGAAGGGCAGAGAGGCAGCCCTGGGGCTTGAAGCTGGGAACAGGGGGACAAGTCCACGCACCGGCAATCCATCCCAGCGTCTGCTCAGAATATCTTGCAGGGGCAGAGCAACTGGAAGCAGGAGCTGCCAGGGACACTGGGCTGATTGCTTCCCCACCTCAAATTTTTACTAAACAGGGGCAGCTGAGCGTGCCTGAGACAGCAGCAGGGCTCAGCATATGGCAAGCACAGACGGCGCCCAGTTTCCTTCCCCAGCACCCCCAGTCCCGCCCCCACACCCTGAGGCTCTGAGCTTGAAAACCCAGAGGCGGTCAAGACTGACCTCACATGGCCCCAGGACAGTGGGTGCCAACAGGCACACCTCCCAGTGCCAGACACCTTGGCCCAGCAACCCCCAGGGAAGGCCTACCTCCCCGGAGCACAGATGGGGAAACCGAGGCTCTGAGGGGTTAGGCAACTCTCTCACCTATGCAGGTGCGCACACATGAGCATGCGCACGCGCACGCACACACCCCGGTCAGATCAAAACAGAAGCACACACTCCATCTGCCATCCCTGCTGCCTGCTCCCCACCCTTGAGTGCCTCCTCCATCCCGGCACTGCTCTCGGCTCGGGCCACCACTGCGGCAACGGGTCCCTTCACAGAGGCTGCTCCCCAAGAGGCAGCTCCCCCGTGACATTTAGTACAGGATGAGGAAACCCTCGTGGGAGGCAAGTCAGTGGCAGGCAGGGACGGGTGCGTGTCATGCACCCCAGCCATCCCCCCCGCCCCCACAGACATGGCTGTCACCCTGAGAAATGGCCACCCAGGCCCCAGCTGACCGCACACTTTGGGCTCCATCGGCAGAGCAGGTGTGGGAGGAGCCCACAGTCTCAAGTCTTTGGTTTCAACAACCGCCACCCACCCCTGCACCATGCGAGCTCTGAGCGAGGCAGTGGGAACAGAGGGAGGAAGACCCAGCCCTGCTCCACTGGGAATTTAGACACAGAATAGCGATGGTTCCATGAGGCAGGTTCTATGAGGCATAGAAAGGGTCCCCTAGCCCTGGCGGGGGAGGGAATCCCACAGTCAGGGAAGGCTTCCTGGAGATGCTCAGAGTGCAGGGCCTCGGTGGGACCAACCCCAGGCCAGCAAAGCTTGCAGAGGCAACAGCTCCTGGCTGTGAAGTGGCCTTGCACGCCCCCTCCCACCTTACACCTGCTCTAGCTGTAACCTGATTGGTCAGTCTACGGCCAAATCCTTCCCACTCCCCAACCATCTCTGAGGGACAGCGACCCAGACCTGCACCTGCGGGAACCAGGGGTGGTGAATCAGGAGACCTCTGATGCCAAGAGGCACCCAAGAGGCCCTCCAGGGAAGCTGCTCCCCCTGCAGCCGCAGTAGGGTGCGGCCCTCGAGACCTGCTCTCCAAAGGAGGAAGCATGCGCAGAGCTGCAGGAGCAGAACACGGCCTGGCAGTGGACGCCCCGCGGGGCATCTGTAAGTGGTCACATGCCCTGTGCAGCCTGGGGCCTTTGCCCTCCCTGCTCCTGTGTCCTGGGACCCTGGTCATGCCTGGAGAGCTCTGGGCACCTTCCGGGGCAGTGCGGGATGCCCCGGCCGCCCTGGCCCAGGCTCGGACTTTGCTTTTGCCCTCGCTTTGCCAGACTGCAGTCCCGGCGCCTGTGGCTGCATGTGCCACCGCCTGGCCCCGGGTCTGTGGCGGCACCAGGAAGTCCTGGCCTGTGAGGCCAGCTGTCTTCCCGTCTCCTCTCCGGAAGCACACAGAGGCAGCCCAACAAAGTGCTGGAATCCACTCCCTGGACGTGCCAGCTTCCTGGTTTATGGGGCCTTTAGCTCCCAACACCTGACCTCGGGGTCCTCGTCCTCTCATCTCTGCCTCTTTGCCCCTCAGGAGCCAGGTCTGTGTCCCTGTAGGTGGAGCAGGGGTCCCAGCAGACTCTCACCATCCACTGCCACCTGCCTGCCTCCCAGCCACGGGTGTTAGGAGTGGGCCTATTGGAAACGCATGCAGGGCTTCTATGGACCTGGCAAGGGCTGCTGATCAGAGACTGTCTCGTAGGAAAGGAGGGCTCCCCAGGCTCAGGGAATTTCCCTCCTGCTGTTACAACCCTCAGCGTGGAGTTCCTGCGTAGAGCCTGGCGATGAGGAAGTGAGCTCCATCTCCCCAGCTCCCCCTCCCTCAGTCCTGTAGGCCCCGTCACAGCTGCACAAGCAGAGCCCCCAGCCACGGGCAGGTGTTGGCGCTCCCAGGGGCCAGCTTGCCAGGCTGGGCACCACCAAGCAGCCTGCAGGACTCTCTCCTTCCCGCCTGTATCCTGTTTGTTCATCGGGACAGACACTTGGGGGGCCCTGGATGGGTCAGAACAGCCTCCAGCCCTGGGGGAAGTGGTGGAGTTTGGCTCCAGAACAGGGAGGCGTGGGGCCAAGCCCGGGTGTCTGGGAGGCCTCTCCATCCTCAGTTTACTGAGCCGGAAAATACCAGTGAAAATACACGCCGGGAGAATGGGTCAGGTGGGTTATAGGGACAGTGCTTTTGGCCCGCAGCCAGGGCCCCGTGAATCTGGATTGGAAGAAGTAGGAAGGGGCCCCCAGCCAGCCCTGAACAGGTTCGGGAAGCTTTGGCCAAGCCTTTGCCAGGCTCTTACTGAACAAACACTTACGGCCCTTGAGACCTGGCCTACGCCACCAAGCAGCTCTGCAGGGTGGGCTTGTCACCTCGAATCCTGGGGTAACGCTGTCCTTTCAAAATTCATGCCCACAGGAACCTCAGAATGGGGCCTTATTTGGAAATGGTCTGTGCAGGTGACATTAACTTGGGTTAAGCTGAGGGTATTCTGGATGAGATGGGCCCTAAATCCAGGCCTGGCTTCCTCGTGAGTAAAAGAGAGGACATGGAGGCACCCCGAGGAGCCGGGGAGGAGGCCATGTGACCGACGGGACCGAGGGTGGAGTGATGCAAATCACAGCTAAAGGGCACGGGGAGCCACAGGGAGAGGGAAAAGGCAGGGAGGAGCCGCCCAGGAGCCTTCCGAGAAATACCTTGAGTTCGGAATTCTGACCTCCGGAGTTGCGAGAACCCGCTGGAGAGGGCCCTGCCATGCCCTTTGGCAGCCAGGGAACCCGGCACCCCACGCACTCCTGGCCCTGCCTCTCTCTAGCGTGTGGTGCGGCCATCCTCCCCCATGTCGCTGAAAGAGCAAGTGATGTCTTCATGCGTAAAACGCCGCCCAACGCCCATCGCAGGACACAGTTGTCATCGCTGTCAACAGCCGTGTTGACATTAACATAGTTACGGCCTTGCAGGGTGCTCACGGCGTCCTCGGCTCACCTGGAGGAGGGAGGCACCGCCGTGCTCCTTTCACAGGCGAGCCACCAGCTTCGGTGACTCTGCCTGCCCACGGTCACACAGCCCAGCGGCACAGGTGGGGCTGAACCCCGGGCGGTCTGAGCCCAGCCCCCATATACCCATCCTAAACCTAGACACCCTAAATCAGCCTGCTGCCTGGCCCTGAGAGGCCACACACACCCTGAGTGGCTGGCCCACATGCAGGCTGCCCCTGGCCCTGGCACTGGCCGGCACCACTGACTCCCCCCAGCGTCACTGTGCTATTCATCTCATCTGAGCCTCAGCAACAGCAAAAGTTCGGTAACTCCCGCTTCACAGACAGAGCAGGGCTCCCGGGACTCCTGGGGGGCCACACCCAGGCCAGAGGGGTTTCGGCGGTGTACACACATAGGACCATGCGCCCTGGCACACCTACAGTTGAAAGCTGGGCCCAGGTCCTCCCTGGAATTTTCAGGCTGGAGCCCCTGTCTCTGGTCCATTTGGCTGTTGGAAAAGAGACCCAGGTGGCAGCGTCAGTGGCCAGTTACAGCCACCACGGTGCCGGGTGAGGCTCAGAGGCGCCGGGCTCACCCTGATGGGTCTGGCAGCATGGGTCCAGCTAATCCAGGGCTGGGGGTCACACCTGAGACCCGCTGGACCCGGAATCCTTGTCACTGGCTCTGCTCCCAGACCCCCAGAGCTGCTCGCACCAAGGGCCAGCATGGGGTTAGGCCAGTCCCAGAAGCAAGGGTGCTTTGTCAAAGCTGAGATTGCCCACAATCACTGCAGACTAGCGCCACCAGCAGCTGTGAGCTCTGCGTGGGGTCTGCGGAGGGTGCCCACGACCTCCCCTAGGCTCCCGGCTCGAAGTTCTGCTCCACCCCAATCCCAGACAGGTCAGAAAAGTCCTCAAGAAAGTGTAAAGATTCAACCATGGCAAAGACCCACAGACAGCAGGCTGCCCCGCCAGTCCACACCCGCCTGTCCCGGAGTCCCCCCACCTCCATACCTGCGCTCTGCTCCTCAGAGGCAGCTCCCAGGCCCACAGGGCGGTAGCTGGCAGGCACCAGGTGGCCGTTCCTGGCCCAGCGCTGGCTGGCCCCACGGGGCTGTCTCCAGCTGGACGGAGCAGGCAGGGGCCGCCCACAGCCAGGCTGACTGCACAGCGGCCTCCGCCTCCTGCTTCCTGCCCTACTTCCTCCCTGCGCCTGGGGGCCAGTGACGGAGAGGCAGGCCCAGGGTGGCTGCACAGACACCGCACCAGTTGATCATTAGCTCTTTCCTGGACCGGCTCCAGGTGCTGCCCTGCCCGCCTGCTGCCCAGCCCCCAGGCTCTGTAGTAGAGGCCGGAGCACCCAGTTCCTGGCCAGGCTGAGATTGGGGAAGTCCACCAGCCACCGGCCCTCCAGCCCTGCCAACCTCAGCTCTGCTCTCTGTTCCTCTTCTACTTACTGCGCACACACGCACACAGGCCTGCGCACACACGCACACACACACAGGCCTGCACATGCACACATACACACATACACAGGCCCGCACACACGCAAACACACACACAGGCCTGCACGTGCACACAGATACACAGGTCTGCGCACACATACATACACAGGCCCATGCGCACACACACACACACACACAAACATACACAGGCCTGCACACACATGCACACACATGCACAGGCCTGCACGCACACACACACACACGGGCCTGCACGCACACACACACACACGGGCCTGCGCGCACACACATACACAGGCCTGCGCACACACAGATACACAGGCCTGCGCATACACACACAGAGGCCTGCACACACACTCACACACACACACAGGCCTGCTCACACATGCACACACATACAAACACACACGTTCATGCACACAGACTCACTAGCACATGTGTGTGCACACATGGACAGGTACACAGGTGCACACAAACGCTCTTGCACACTTCACTCGCCTCTGCCCCGGGTGCTGTTTGGGGCACTGGCTCCAATGGGAACATTTAGGGGAAGAGATGGGCCCTCCTCCTGCCCGCAGGCTCTCCTGGAACCTGGCCTGTCCCAGTGGGTCTACCTCTTTACCTTCCCTCTGGCTCCAGGCCTGAGCCAGGTTTGAGAGCAGAAACCTTCCTGGCCAGGCAGACCCAAGGCCATGGCATGGAATCTCACCCCTGTCTGCTCAGGGAGCCTGGACTGGACTCACAGCTCAGACAAGAGGCAGAACTGAGCTCAGGTTGGCCTGTGGGCCCCGCCTGTCCTCCTGCTCTGATGCCCTTGCCAGCACAGGCGTGGGCACCCATGTGGTGGGTGTGTGGGCTGCTGGCTTCAGCCAGCTCTAGGAAGAGGGAGTGGGAGGGACCCCTCCACCCTGCACTTTACACACACCTGGTTTAATAAAAGCAGGAAAATCCTCAAGTTAAATAGTAACGTGTCCATCTCACAGACAGGAAAACTAAGGCTCAGAGAGGGCATGTGGCATGCCTAAGGCCAGTGACCAACTAGAAGATAAGACTGGAACCAGGTCCCACTGGTTCTCAAGTCTTTAGGGCTGGGGTTTTCAACCTTGGCACTACCAATATTTGGGGCCACATCTGTCTTAGTGGGGGGGGGGGCTGTCCCATGCACTGGAGGGTTTTAGCTGGTCCCTGGCCTCCACCCATGGGATGCCAGTAGTTCCCTCCTCCAGTCCTGACAGCCAAACATAGCTCAGATATTGATCCCCTGGGCGTGAAGTCGCCCTGGGCCTAATAACTCCCACCCCAGGTGAGCTACTCAGGTCAAAGCCACTCCCAGCCCACGCCCGCATCCTTCATCCTCGGCTCCCCCCCCACCCCGCCCCGTTCACCTTTCTCTAATCGCAGACTCTGCCTGGGGGCTGTCCCTTGCCTCAACTCCCTGCATCCTGCACAGCAAGCCCTAAGGTCCCACCCTCCCTCCTCCCCACCGAGGCCGGGGCCCAGGACAAGGGTGCAACTGCAGATGCCCCAGGAGTGTCCACTTGCTGCCCCAAAAGGGCCCCAAGGAGAGTCCATGGGAGGCCCAAGCCCCTTAGGGGCCCAGGCAGGCCCAGCCTCCCGGCTCCCCAGCCTGGCCTGGCCTGGCCAGACCCCACCTTCCATGCCACCAACATGCTTGGTGACCACACAATGGTGGGGGTGGGGAGAGGGAGTTCAGAGGCACAAAGGGACACTTTCAGAGAGTCTCCAGTGACAGGCAGAGGAGCAGCAGCTCCCAGACCAGCTCTTCCTCCCTGTGGGGATGCAGCTCCCTGGCCCGGCCTGTGTCTGAGGAGGAAAACGGTGGCCTCTCCAGCCACATTGAAGGGCAGCTCTGGTGGCCACTCTGTCAGTTTCCTGGGGCTGCCACATCCAAGTGCCACACACTGGAGACTCCAGACAGCAGAAGTGTCATCTCTGGCAGTTCTGGGGCTGAAACTCCGCAGTCAAGCTGTGGGGAGGACCATACTCCCTCCGGGGCTCCAGGCATGTTCTGGCTGGAGGTCACCTCGCTCCAGGCTCTGCCTCTGTCTTCGCCCAGCCTCCTCCTCTGTGTCTGTATCTCCTTTCTCCTAAGCACCCTGTTGCTAGATTTGGGGTTCACCTAAATAACCCAAGATGATCTCACCCGGAGACCCTGGAGGAAATCACAGCTGCAAACACCCTCATTCCAAAGAAGTGTCACTGGATTTGGGGTCAGCTCGGTACTTAAGCTGTGGAGCAGGCATGGGACAGTGTGGTTGGGAACATCAGTCCCCAAACAGAGCCCCCTCAACCTCAGCCGCCTGCAGTCCTTCGAGCCTGGTGTCCTGCCAGTCCCCTCCTTGGGCCTCGGGGGTGGACAGTGCAAGGTCCACCTTTCTTACACTTCCCTGCAGACACTTGCCGGCCCCATCTCCCACCGTCCCCCCACCACCAGAGCTCAACTTGCGTCCTGTCCGACCCTGCCAGCTCCCTCTGCCTCTCCCGGCTCAGCCCTTGACTGGGTAATGTGTCCCCCTTTACAAAGCTCCCACTACCGAAGCCCAGAGCATCTTGGGAGCCAGATTCTCCTGGCAACTTCCCTGCAGAATGGATGCAACTCTGGACACCCACCTCTCCTCTGTGTGGGGTGCCTTCCTGGGCAAGCAGCCACCCCCAAGACATCTGCTGCCCCAGTGCCCAGGAGCTGTGGATACCCACAGAAGCACCCAACATCACCTCCCCAGGTCTTCCTCTCCCCACGCCCCCACCAGTGCCACCTGCAACCTCTGTGACTCCCTACCCCGTCCAGTGAGGCTTCTCCACTGAGATCCAATTCATCTCCAGCCTGGGCTCTACATACAGGAACTGGGCAGGCTGAAGGCACACGCATCTGTCAACACAACCTCATGGAGCGGTCACTCCCTCCCAGTCGCGCTGGGTGTGAGCAGGCGGGGATGTGGGATTCTGCATAAAGATTAAATTCGACTTGAGGACTTTTCCAAAACGCCAAGCACAGGTGCACGGATCCGTCACACTGAGATTCTGCGTGTGTGACAAATGCTTGTGCCGGGTCCTCTTCACGGCTTTGGCCCAGAAAGGAGCACAGAGGAGCAATGCTCAACAGGCAGGTGGGGAAGAACCAACGCCCCTGGGAGGTCCGCACCTGCTACCAGTGCCCTGGCCTCGTCGCCCCACCGTGGGATGGGGCTGCCTGTGCCTCTGCTTGTATGTTAGAGCAAGGGGCTGTGCAGAGAAGTGGGGAGTGGGCCCGAGACCACCTGCGTCAACTTGCTGCCTGCCTGTGGCAGCTCCTCCTCCTGCAGGCCTCAGTTTCCCGTCTATGACCCAAGACTCAAAGCAGGTGCCCCCCATTCTCCTGCCTGCTCACACCTCCGCCCATTCTCCAGAGTGGGCAGAACACACTTCCTCTCCTAGCCAGAGATGCTTGGCTTCGCCTGTGTTTGTTTTTCTGGAAACCACGTTGAAAAAAACACCCCCAGACGGGCTCAACCTCCACACACGGGTCTGGAGACATTTCCTCTCCTGGCCATTGTCCCCCGCTGTGGCTGGAGACCCCGTATCCTGTTTGTCTCTGCAGCTGCACTTCTGGCCCAAGGCTGGGGGGATTTTCCGAGAGCCTCCCCGACTGCACAGAGCACCCTGACGCCACACAGCACACCCAGCAGCCTCCCAGAGGAAGGGACCTGAGCCTTCATGGCTTCGGGCTGTCCAAGCACGCCCACCTGGAGGCTGCAGACGCTGGGGCAGAAGCACATAGAGTCCTGCCCGCCCGAACCCCAGCTCAGCCATCAATTCTCCCAGCACAATCTGTCACTCCTCTGGGCTCAGTCTCCCCATCTTGCAAGTGGTAGAGTTGGGCTTGGAGATTCCTAAGTGCCCTGCAGCTCAACACTTCTGCTCCCTGACGTGGTTGTAGTAAATTCAAATTGTCACTTGCCAAGAAGATGCTCAGTCCTTCAAGAGGATTGTCATCACATGGGGCTTGCCGATGGCCCCACCAGCTTGAGTGTCTCCTGATGCCTGCTGGTGAGTGCCTCCTGATGCCCACTGGTCTGATTCACAGAGGGCTTAGAAGTGGCATGACCTGGCCAGGGCCACACAGCTCCTATGTGGCAGAACCAGCCCAGATCCCAGTCCTTCCAGCACCAAACCTGTGTCCCTCACCCCTCCTTCAACTGCCCTCTGGGGCTTTCTAAGGTATGAGTTGAGCAGCCAGAGACAAAGGCAGTGGTGCCCTCAATTCCTGGAAACCCCCGGGAGCAAGTCCTTCCCAAGAGTCTGGGGTTTTCCAGGGAGCCTAACACGCACGCTTTCGAGCACCAAGCCCCAGAGTTAATCTTTGCGATGGTGCTCTGGAAAGCAGTGGCCCTCCTCTGTCCCTTTCCCTGATCTCTGGGGCCAGCTGGTGTTTGATTGAATTATGAGGCAAAGTGACCCATTGCCAGGCGAGGCGAGTCTTAGAGTTTCTCCGTCTCTCCACCGGCCGTTGATACTAGCCCAGTTCCCCGTTCTGCTCCGGGCTGGGAAGCTGCTGAGCAGATAGGTCAGAGTCAGGGAGAAAGTAAAACAAGCCGCCCCAAGGAGAGGCTCCTGTCGCCGAGAGAGGAACAAGCTCATTTTCAGCAAATGTCTCCTGCCCCAGGTTTGGCTGCTCAGGAGTCTGGGCAGATGAGGTGCCGGGGACACAATTTCTAGCCAATGTAGAAGTGGCAGGCATGGCCACCACAGCCTGGGAAAAGTGAGTGTGGCTTCAGACTTTTCCTGTGACTGTCCCTGGTCACTCAAAGAAGCTACCGGACCTGTTCCTGCATCCTTCATTCAGAAAAAAACAAATCTGGCCCACATGTGCACCGCGGGTGTGAAGCCCCCCAGCCACACCCTTCAGCTGTGGCTTTTTAGGGAAGCCCCTTTAATTATCCATCTCAGAAGGTCCCAGGACAGCTCCTGCCAAAGCCTCAGACACACCCTGAGTGCTGACCAGGCTCCTTGAGGCCGGGGATGCTGGGTGGGGAAGAGGGGGCCCTGCCTTCCACCTCCCGCAGCCCCAGCCCTGAGGGCTCAGGCTCCTCCCTCTGGGAGGCTGCTGGGGGTGCTGTGGCTGGGGGCTCTGCCTTTGTGTTTTTCAGCCTCCTGCAGCAAATGACAGCTGCAATTATCCAAAGGCACGGGCGGCTTCTGTCTTCATCCCGCTGTCCCAGAGCCTAGTCACGAGTGAATCATGTCAGGTTCGGAAGGTGATCCACACCTGCCCCTACACCAGCGGGGGTTCCTGGGACTCATCCCTCGGAGGGAACTGCACCTCTGCAGTTGGTCCCACTCCCCCACCTCCAGGTAATGCTGCTTTTTGCGGTTTGGAGCCCCACTTGCCACTGGAGATGGCAGCACCCCCATTCCAGCTCTGCCTTCTGGGACCCCCACCCATCCCACAATTTGGCCGCTCACAGGAGGAGCTCACAGACAAGTCGGGGAAACTGACCGGGAAACTGACCAGGATGGCAAGGCATGTTCCATGTAGCAGCAAAGGGAGGCCTGGGAGGAAAGAGAGGAGGATGAAATCGAGGAAGGCTTCCTGAAAGAGGAGGCACGTGGGCTGAGACTTGGAGGGAGAGGAACCAGGCAAAGCGGGAGTGTAAAGGGCTTCTCAGGGGTCAGGGCTAGCTCAAACAACTGTGCTCCCAGCAGGCAGAGTGCTAAAATCTCCCACAGCCACTTCAGGGGACTATGGACTCTGGCAGCCAAGGAGAGGCCAGCACATTCGCACCCTGAGGGGTTAATCTACAACTGCCATAAAAGTGACTCTCAGGAATGCAGGGACCTGGGGGCTACAGGCTACTTCAGCTGCCGGCTCTCCCACTGGCCCTGTCCAACAGGAATAGGCTCACGGGAGCCTCCAAGGTCGTTCCAGAACACGGGAGGCAAAATGCACTCTGGGCAGGGCTGGGGGAAGCGGGTCTGGCTTTGCCAGCCTTCAGGTCTGTCACAACCCTGCCCTTAGAGCAACAAAGCAGACAGACAGCGATAAGTGAACGGGTGTGGCCACCTGCCAATAGAACTTTATCTATCATACAAGACCGGGGGCCAGATCTGGTCAGGTGTGCTTTGTGGACCACAGAACCGAGGCCGTCTTGTGCTGCGAAACAGGCTCGGGACGTGGTCCATCACTGCCGGCCCCACTCCGCTGCTCCGCCCTGGTCACACCTGTGTGACCACGAAAACCTGTGCACAGAGAAGCCACTCACCAGGTAGCGCCTTCAGAGTGGAAGAGGAGACAGCAAAGACAAGTGCTTGGTAGCAAGATTGTAA